AAACTGAGCTGTACGAACTGGGATCAAGCTATATATGAAAACACCGCACTTCCACGTGCATCACTAGGCTTCAATGCATCTTGCGGTTTCATCCCTGGAAGCACAAAGAAAACGTGCGTCTCGTCACAGTCTGTGAGTGTGACGAGCCCTTTGAAAAGGCTCCGCCGTTCCTTGAAGTGAAAGCTCTTCATCCGAACGAAGGTGTTGTACAACCCTTCAATGACCCAGGAACTTCATGGAACTTCCACGCATGACGGTATTTTTTGTTTCAAGTGGATCGTGGGATCACGCCGAGTTGGGCAAGGCAAGTACTTACGGCTTGAGTGTTCAGCTTGTGCGCTTACGGTCCGCTTCAACTTTCAGAAAATTGAACGCAGCTTGATTTCCAATCGGCACCTGTCATGATCTCACAAGCATCTGACAGGCGCGGCTGTCTGAAACCACACCTCCAAGTTGGATCTGAAATCATGGGCTATCCGAATGCTCACCTGCCATGCCCTTTCCAGTCATGCCATGATCAGGGCCACAGCGGAAGGCAAAGCCCGCATTTCCCAAGACACCAAGGGATGTCTGCAAGGGTTGGCTGCGGGAAATGGTTTCGCGGGTGCTTCTTCTGCTCGGATTTGATGCGCACTTATTTGCCTTTGCGACGTGCTTCTGTGTGTTGCAATGTAGAGGCGGCACCAAGAGGTTTCGCAAAGCTACGAGGACCTACGCAGATTTGACCCGTGTCACACAAACACCTGAAGGCGGTCATGCAGTGAGTTTCCTCGTGAGAAAATCCATCGTTTAGAAGGAAAAAAACTCTTCTCTGAAGCTACAGCCATGCGGCAAAAGATAGGCATTGATTGGCCGCAGTCAGAAGCTGGCTGACCGCAAAATCTCGGCTCAGAAGACTGCACCCCGCCAAAAAAACAATATTGGGTCAAACGAAATGATTTCTGGCGCAAATTTTGACCATGTTTGATAGGTACTGCACTTATTACTATCTTAACTCCATAGTTTGAACCATATCGACCTATCTTAAAGCTTTGTAGGCCAAAGTCTCTCTTTGCCAGCGAATCTTCTCCAGCCAATCTTTGATTTTGCCGAGATCAATTTTCCTTTTTGACTCTTTAGAAATTTGAGCTCGACCGATGCGGATGGTGGATCTGGTGCAAGCACCACTTGGATCACATGGCGATGAACCACACATCGCTGCTTCACAGCTCAAAGGAAGTCACTTCAATGGCAGGCGGGCGATCTAAGCCTGGGCAGGGCTTTTGAGATGCTCGTCCGCCAAATTTTGGTATAGGATGGTATTGGTTTTCAGACATACATTATCCCCAATCACAAGTTTTTTAGACCAAGGTTCCTCAGGTACCCCAGAACAGAACTCAACAAACAGCGTGAATCGCAGACCGTTTGCTTGGGAAAGTTGATGAGATCTTCTGTTCAATCAAAAAGGACAGTGCAGCGAGCGGAGAAGTTGAGGTATGAGGACAATAGTCTGTCACAACAATCAACAGGCTTCCAAGTGCAACCTGCATCATAGAGGGGATCCGGTCGATATTTTTAAGCCAAGATTCTTGGCTCGCATATGTCTCCTCACGCTGCTCAAGTTGCCATACCGATTGAATATTAGATTACCTAGGATATATTTGATTCAATGAAATTCAATGCATCAGCGAATCAGACTCCCTCAATGACCCAGGAACTTCATGGAACTTCCACGCATGACGGTATTTTTTGTTTCAAGTGGATCGTGGGATCACGCCGAGTTGGGCAAGGCAAGTACTTACGGCTTGAGTGTTCAGCTTGTGCGCTTACGGTCCGCTTCAACTTTCAGAAAATTGAACGCAGCTTGATTTCCAATCGGCACCTGTCATGATCTCACAAGCATCTGACAGGCGCGGCTGTCTGAAACCACACCTCCAAGTTGGATCTGAAATCATGGGCTATCCGAATGCTCACCTGCCATGCCCTTTCCAGTCATGCCATGATCAGGGCCACAGCGGAAGGCAAAGCCCGCATTTCCCAAGACACCAAGGGATGTCTGCAAGGGTTGGCTGCGGGAAATGGTTTCGCGGGTGCTTCTTCTGCTCGGATTTGATGCGCACTTATTTGCCTTTGCGACGTGCTTCTGCGTGTTGCAATGTAGAAGCAGCACCAAGAGGTTTCGCAAACCTACGAGGACCTACGCAGATTTGACCCGTGTCACACAAACACCTGAAGGCGGTCATGCAGTGAGTTTCCTCGTGAGAAAATCCATCGTTTAGAAGGAAAAAAAACTCTGCTCTGAAGCTACAGCCATGCGGCAAAAGATAGGCATTGATTGGCCGCAGTCAGAAGCTGGCTGACCGCAAAATCTCGGCTCAGAAGACTGCACCCCGCCAAAAAAACAATATTGGGTCAAACGAAATAATTTCTGGCGCAAATTTTGACCATGTTCGATAGGTACTGCACTTATTACTATCTTAACTCCATAGTTTGAACCATATCGACCTATCTTAAAGCTTTGTAGGCCAAAGTCTCTCTTTGCCAGCGAATCTTCTCCAGCCAATCTTTGATTTTGCCGAGATCAATTTTCCTTTTTGACTCTTTAGAAATTTGAGCTCGACCGATGCGGATGGTGGATCTGGTGCAAGCACCACTTGGATCACATGGCGATGAACCACACATCGCTGCTTCACAGCTCAAAGAAGTCACTTCAATGGCAGGCGGGCGATCTAAGCCTGGGCAGGGCTTTTGAGATGCTCGTCCGCCAAATTTTGGTATAGGATGGTATTGGTTTTCAGACATACATTATCCCCAATCACAAGTTTTTTAGACCAAGGTTCCTCAGGTACCCCAGAACAGAACTCAACAAACAGCGTGAATCGCAGACCGTTTGCTTGGGAAAGTTGATGAGATCTTCTGTTCAATCAAAAAGGACAGTGCAGCGAGCGGAGAAGTTGAGGTATGAGGACAATAGTCTGTCACAACAATCAACAGGCTTCCAAGTGCAACCTGCATCATAGAGGGGATCCGGTCGATATTTTTAAGCCAAGATTCTTGGCTCGCATATGTCTCCTCACGCTGCTCAAGTTGCCATACCGATTGAATATTAGATTACCTAGGATATATTTGATTCAATGAAATTCAATGCATCAGCGAATCAGACTCCCTCAATGACCCAGGAACTTCATGGAACTTCCACGCATGACGGTATTTTTTGTTTCAAGTGGATCGTGGGATCACGCCGAGTTGGGCAAGGCAAGTACTTACGGCTTGAGTGTTCAGCTCGTGCGCTTACGGTCCGCTTCAACTTTCAGAAAATTGAACGCAGCTTGATTTCCAATCGGCACCTGTCATGATCTCACAAGCATCTGACAGGCGCGGCTGTCTGAAACCACACCTCCAAGTTGGATCTGAAATCATGGGCTATCCGAATGCTCACCTGCCATGCCCTTTCCAGTCATGCCATGATCAGGGCCACAGCGGAAGGCAAAGCCCGCATTTCCCAAGACACCAAGGGATGTCTGCAAGGGTTGGCTGCGGGAAATGGTTTCGCGGGTGCTTCTTCTGCTCGGATTTGATGCGCACTTATTTGCCTTTGCGACGTGCTTCTGTGTGTTGCAATGTAGAGGCGGCACCAAGAGGTTTCGCAAAGCTACGAGGACCTACGCAGATTTGACCCGTGTCACACAAACACCTGAAGGCGGTCATGCAGTGAGTTTCCTCGTGAGAAAATCCATCGTTTAGAAGGAAAAAAACTCTTCTCTGAAGCTACAGCCATGCGGCAAAAGATAGGCATTGATTGGCCGCAGTCAGAAGCTGGCTGACCGCAAAATCTCGGCTCAGAAGACTGCACCCCGCCAAAAAAACAATATTGGGTCAAACGAAATGATTTCTGGCGCAAATTTTGACCATGTTTGATAGGTACTGCACTTATTACTATCTTAACTCCATAGTTTGAACCATATCGACCTATCTTAAAGCTTTGTAGGCCAAAGTCTCTCTTTGCCAGCGAATCTTCTCCAGCCAATCTTTGATTTTGCCGAGATCAATTTTCCTTTTTGACTCTTTAGAAATTTGAGCTCGACCGATGCGGATGGTGGATCTGGTGCAAGCACCACTTGGATCACATGGCGATGAACCACACATCGCTGCTTCACAGCTCAAAGGAAGTCACTTCAATGGCAGGCGGGCGATCTAAGCCTGGGCAGGGCTTTTGAGATGCTCGTCCGCCAAATTTTGGTATAGGATGGTATTGGTTTTCAGACATACATTATCCCCAATCACAAGTTTTTTAGACCAAGGTTCCTCAGGTACCGCAGAACAGAACTCAACAAACAGCGTGAATCGCAGACCGTTTGCTTGGGAAAGTTGATGAGATCTTCTGTTCAATCAAAAAGGACAGTGCAGCGAGCGGAGAAGTTGAGGTATGAGGACAATAGTCTGTCACAACAATCAACAGGCTTCCAAGTGCAACCTGCATCATAGAGGGGATCCGGTCGATATTTTTAAGCCAAGATTCTTGGCTCGCATATGTCTCCTCGCGCTGCTCAAGTTGCCATACCGATTGAATATTAGATTACCTAGGATATATTTGATTCAATGAAATTCAATGCATCAGCGAATCAGACTCCCTCAGATTCCATTGATAGTTTCTATATGTTTCTATTGATCTTTAGAATCCCCATGGGACATTGGGGACAACTAATAGGCTGTGCACCTGGACAAACAAACATTTTGATGGGTCAAACATGGTTAAACATCGCTAAACCCTAATTCTTAGTGGTTGAATTCCCAATTAGCTTTGTGAAATATGGTTATATAAACTACTGGTTGGTGGTTTCAACCATCTTGAAACATATTAGTCAATGGGAAGGATTATCCCATGTATTATGGAAAATAAAACATGTTTGAAATCACCAACCAGACTATGTTTAAAGACCTCATTCTGAACAAAAAAAATATGCAGGTCAAATCAGGCCGCCTCAGGGGGAAAAAAAACTATAGGACATCCCACCCAAGGCCTTGAGCAAAGCTCTGCTTTTCGAACTAGGTCAGCCACGCTTTGGCCCTGCAGCCTCACCACAAAGTCTGACTTTATGGCGGGTTTACCTCAAATTATCCGATTTTGAAAAGGGATTAATTACCTGAGGAGGGGGGGGACGAAAGCCAGCCTCCAAACAAATGTTCAGGCGGCGTTTTTTTCTTTGCGCTTTATGCTCTGTGTGTTGCATCTGAGAGGCTTTTACATACAGACCCTTTTACACACAAACATCTTTACACCGAAATGTTTTTACACACAGTAGTAGTCGTCGTCGTCGTCGTAGTAGTAGTAGTAGTTGTTGCTGTTGTTGTTGTTGCTGCATGTTTTTTTACATTCATTTTTAAAGGAAAAAAATAGTCAAATAGGTTGTGTTTACGTGTTTTTTGAAGAGTCTCGCAGCAAAAACACCGTAAATACCGTGTTTTTTACGCCTCGCAAGCCTAAAACCACGGTATTTACGGTGTTTTTTGCTCCTGGTAGCAAAAACCACGGTATTTACAGTGTTTTGTGGCCAGCACCTAGCAAAAACAGTGGTATTTACGCAGTTTTCAGCATGTTGCAAGAAGTGCTTTTTCCATGCCCAAAGCACAAAAACACTGTAAATTACAGTGTTTATGGCTTTTGAAACCCGATGAAAAACGTCAGAAAACAACCAACAAGTGTCCAAAATGGAGCTTCTCTTTCAAGCTCCACAAAACGGAAGTGCGGCACGGCATTTTTGGAGCTCTCCCCAGCCAGGCTCTGGCCTCACCTTCCCAAACGGGCCCAAATCAGAGCCTCCCCCCCCCCACACCCCCTAGATTAGCTTCGCTTCGCTTCGCTTATACCTATACTCAGCCCAGGCCTTCGGCTGGCTTTCGTAATAACCAACAGAATTACAAGAATTAAACGGGTCCAACAATGGGGAACTCAGACGAATTTGGACGAATTTAGTTTCAATGTGTGGCAAGCCCCAAAAAGATGCAGAAGCTCAGATCTGTTGCAGAAATGAAAGGGTAAATTCAATCTGATCCGTATCCTTTGACGGGTTCCTGTACGATTAAACTATATAATGTAGGCCTAGCAAAAGATTGTGAGTTCAATCCTGACCCAACAGAGAAATTGGAGATATTGACCAACAGAACATGGGGATTCCATGGAACATGAAGAGAAACTATGCGATTTGGTGCCTGCCATAGCCAAGACGACTCCGAGCAAAACGAGTTCTCAAATGAGGTTAGGTGATAGCCAGCCATATTTACCAACGAAGAGAGCAGATGGAGCAACATGCAGCAAACTCTCTCTCAGCAAGTCGGATATGTTTTTTTTGTATGTGCGGTAATTTCAACCCCACTTAGAAAAGGATCGTTTCCACCTATAAAACCGCACTCTTGACAAAATTGCAACCAGGCAGCAGAGCTTGTAGCTAAACCTGCCTTTGTCAGCATCAGCCTCTGACTGAAGTCAGCCTTCGAAGGCAAGTCCTTCCCCCAAACAGCTTGAAAGAGGACAGCAGTTGGGATGTACACACACACAACAATCAATTTCAAGTAGAATTGGCAACTACTGGAAACGGTGTACTAAAGCAACCAGAAATGGTGATGGTCATGTCCAGCGCCTGAAACCGTCCAACTTAGGTTCACCAAATAGCACTGCTCAATGGAAGTTGAGTTCGTACATAAAATGACCCGTTAATCCCTCAGTGTTTCAAGCGTAGAGGAATGTGCCCAACCCTGTGCCTGATTGATTCGGACAGGTGGGCCCCGTGCTACCATTCCAGGGCCCAAATATGTGACCTCAGCTTGAGCTGCCCAGATCTCTGTGGTGATCCCTCCACATCTGGGAATCGCACTCAGCGATCTGGTCTTTCAGATTCATTCCGCGTTTTCCTTGGTAGCTGACATTGCAACATCAGAAAGAAAGGCTGAGATGCTTCGATAATGGAAAAGCCTGTCAGAGTGGTGCTACTGATTTTTGCCGAGAGCAAAATTCTCAAGTCATAGATCTTTTCAAAGTCTCAGTAACACATTGTAAAACCAGGCAGCAGAACGCAACCACTCAAACTTAGTCCGAATTTGTTCGCCACTGCTCCAGGATCCACACTGTCAGCCCAGGGGCGTCGAGCAGCATTGCTTGAGATTTGTCAACAAAACCAACCAGATTGAGGCACCCGCACCTCACCAGCCACCACAATAAACACTGGAAGAAACAAAAAACTTCCACGGCGACTTCAAAACCTCTGCTAATCCCAACTTCAATAGGGAAATATGAGATACGAGTGATTTTCCAGTTAGCCATGTTGCTGGGGTTGGGAATTCCTGACACTTGTGGTCACCGAAGTTTCGGACCTGCGATGGAGCAAAGCGTCCACCAGCCCAACGCTGGTCGCATCCAGAAGAAACGTCTCCATCACCTCATGTGGTCAGCACCATGGAAAGGTGAGCAGTACTCAAGATAGCTACCCTCCAGTAACCCAAAAAAAAGATATGGAAAATCCACCATAAAGGTAGATCATTTTGGGACCCCATGGATTGCCATAGCTATGTTAGCTTACTGGAGGCTACGGGCTGCTATGGGTCAGTTCCTTGGTACTCAGATTGTGGTAGGTTTTGACCCATCCCTTTTTCTCCCATCGGAAACGATTGGTGAACACCTGGGCGGTGCCAAGATGCCAAAAAAAAGCTCGAAATGAGTCAGCGTCAAAAATCGACATGGGAATGGCCCAAATCGGAAAATTGTTAATTAGTTAGTGGGGATTCCCGGAGTTTAAGCCCAATGAATATTGGGTAGCATAACATTCATTTTACCAACCAATCATCATTTATCAATTATATCCACATTTTCTTTGGTTTAAATTTGATACTTAGACGTTTCTTACAAGTTATTGCTCAAATGGCATACCCTCTGGTAATTTAACATATAGCTATTGAAAATGGCCCAGTCGAAATAGTTGATTTACCCATTAATAGCACGGTGGATCTTTCCATCGTTTTTTGTATGTTTACCAGAGGCTTCTGAAAACCAAGGCACTGTGAAGAGCAGTGCTTCATCGTGTCGCCTTGGGACGGCGGAGCAGTGCTTCATCGTGTCGCCTTGGGACGGCGGTGCCTCCGCTTTACCCGGTGTCATCAACGCTGGAAAATTCCCGCGCTAAATAGAGGTTGAAAACCACCAAAAACAATGTCAACCCTGGATTAATAAACCCCGTTTACGGCTGTTGAATTGGGGTTTGGTACCATTTCAAAACCCATGGGTTTATTAATCCGGGGTTGACATTCTGCAGCGATTTTCCCAGCTAAAAACCTTCATTTCCTTCGGGATTTTCGTGGATTTTCCATGTTCACTGCAGCCAAGTTGCAGCGGCTGCGCAGCTGTGGTATGAGGACAATAGTCTGTCACAACAATCAACAGGCTTCCAAGTGCAACCTGCATCATAGCGGGGATCCGGTCGATATTTTTAAGCCAAGATTCTTGGCTCGCATATGTCTCCTCGTGCTGCTCAAGTTGCCATACCGATTGAATATTAGATTACCTAGGATATATTTGATTCAATGAAATTCAATGCATCAGCGAATCAGACTCCCTCAGATTCCATTGATAGTTTCTATATGTTTCTATTGATCTTTAGAATCCCCATGGGACATTGGGGACAACTAATAGGCTGTGCACCTGGACAAACAAACATTTTGATGGGTCAAACATGGTTAAACATCGCTAAACCCTAATTCTTAGTGGTTGAATTCCCAATTAGCTTTGTGAAATATGGTTATATAAACTACTGGTTGGTGGTTTCAACCATCTTGAAAAATATTAGTCAATGGGAAGGATTATCCCATGTATTATGGAAAATAAAACATGTTTGAAATCACCAACCAGACTATGTTTAAAGACCTCATTCTGAAAAAAAAATATGCAGGTCAAATCAGGCCGCCCCAGGGGAAAAAAAACTATAGGACATCCCACCCAAGGCCTTAAGCAAAGCTCTGCTTTTCGAACTAGCTCAGCCACGCTTTGGCCCTGCAGCCTCACCACAAAGTCTGACTTTATGGCGGGTTTACCTCAAATTATCCGATTTTGAAAAGGGATTAATTACCTGAGAAGGGGGGGACGAAAGCCAGCCTCCAAACACATGTTCAGGCGGCGTTTTTTTCTTTGCGCTTTATGCTCTGTGTGTTGCATCTGAGAGGCTTTTACATACAGACCCTTCTACACACAAACATCTTTACACCGAAATGCTTTTACACACAGTAGTAGTGGTAGTAGTAGTAGTAGTTGTTGTTGTTGTTGCTGCTGTTGTTGTTGCTGTTGTTGTTGTTGTTGCTGCATGTTTTTTTACATTCATTTTTAAAGCAAAAAAATAGTCAAATAGGTTGTGTTTACGTGTTTTTTGAAGAGTCTCGCAGCAAAAACACCGTAAATACCGTGTTTTTTACGCCTCGCAAGCCTAAAACCACGGTATTTACGGTGTTTTTTGCTCCTGGTAGCAAAAACCACGGTATTTACAGTGTTTTGTGGCCAGCACCTAGCAAAAACAGTGGTATTTACGCAGTTTTCAGCATGTTGCAAGAAGTGCTTTTTCCATGCCAAAAGCACAAAAACACTGTAAATTACAGTGTTTATGGCTTTTGAAACCCGATGAAAAACGTCAGAAAACAACCAACAAGTGTCCAAAATGGAGCTTCTCTTTCAAGCTCCACAAAACGGAAGTGCGGCACGGCATTTTTGGAGCTCTCCCCAGCCAGGCTCTGGCCTCACCTTCCCAAACGGGCCCAAATCAGAGCCTCCCCCCCCCACACCCCCTAGATTAGCTTCGCTTCGCTTCGCTTATACCTATACTCAGCCCAGGCCTTCGGCTGGCTTTCGTAATAACCAACAGAATTACAAGAATTAAACGGGTCCAACAATGGGGAACTCAGACGAATTTGGACGAATTTAGTTTCAATGTGTGGCAAGCCCCAAAAAGATGCAGAAGCTCAGATCTGTTGCAGAAATGAAAGGGTAAATTCAATCTGATCCGTATCCTTTGACGGGTTCCTGTACGATTAAACTATATAATGTAGGCCTAGCAAAAGATTGTGAGTTCAATCCTGACCCAACAGAGAAATTGGAGATATTGACCAACAGAACATGGGGATTCCATGGAACATGAAGAGAAACTATGCGATTTGGTGCCTGCCATAGCCAAGACGACTCCGAGCAAAACGAGTTCTCAAATGAGGTTAGGTGATAGCCAGCCATATTTACCAACGAAGAGAGCAGATGGAGCAACATGCAGCAAACTCTCTCTCAGCAAGTCGGATATGTTTTTTTTGTATGTGCGGTAATTTCAACCCCACTTAGAAAAGGATCGTTTCCACCTATAAAACCGCACTCTTGACAAAATTGCAACCAGGCAGCAGAGCTTGTAGCTAAACCTGCCTTTGTCAGCATCAGCCTCTGACTGAAGTCAGCCTTCGAAGGCAAGTCCTTCCCCCAAACAGCTTGAAAGAGGACAGCAGTTGGGATGTACACACACACAACAATCAATTTCAAGTAGAATTGGCAACTACTGGAAACGGTGTACTAAATTTAAAGCAACCAGAAATGGTGATGGTCATGTCCAGCGCCTGAAACCGTCCAACTTAGGTTCACCAAATAGCACTGCTCAATGGAAGTTGAGTTCGTACATAAAATGACTCGTTAATCCCTCAGTGTTTCAAGCGTAGAGGAATGTGCCCAACCCTGTGCCTGATTGATTCGGACAGGTGGGCCCCGTGCTACCATTCCAGGGCCCAAATATGTGACCTCAGCTTGAGCTGCCCAGATCTCTGTGGTGATCCCTCCACATCTGGGAATCTCACTCAGCGATCTGGTCTTTCAGATTCATTCCGCGTTTTCCTTGGTAGCTGACATTGCAACATCAGAAAGAAAGGCTGAGATGCTTCGATAATGGAAAAGCCTGCCAGAGTGGTGCTGCTGATTTTTGCCGAGAGCAAAATTCTCAAGTCATAGATCTTTTCAAAGTCTCAGTAACACATTGTAAAACCAGGCAGCAGAACGCAACCACTCAAACTTAGTCCGAATTTGTTCGCCACTGCTCCAGGATCCACACTGTCAGCCCAGGGGCGTCGAGCAGCATTGCTTGAGATTTGTCAACAAAACCAACCAGATTGAGGCACCCGCACCTCACCAGCCACCACAATAAACACTGGAAGAAACAAAAAACTTCCACGGCGACTTCAAAACCTCTGCTAATCCCAACTTCAATAGGGAAATATGAGATACTCGTCGAACTAAATGAGTTATTTTCCAGTTAGCCATGTTGCTGGGGTTGGGAATTCCTGACACTTGTGGTCACCGAAGTTTCGGACCTGCGATGGAGCAAAGCGTCCATCAGCCCAACGCTGGTCGCATCCAGAAGAAACGTCTCCATCACCTCATGTGGTCAGCACCATGGAAAGGTGAGCAGTACTCAAGATAGCTACCCTCCAGTAACCCAAAAAAAAGATATGGAAAATCCACCATAAAGGTAGATCATTTTGGGACCCCATGGATTGCCATAGCTATGTTAGCTTACTGGAGGCTACGGGCTGCTATGGGTCAGTTCCTTGGTACTCAGATTGTGGTAGGTTTTGACCCATCCCTTTTTCTCCCATCGGAAACGATTGGTGAACACCTGGGCGGTGCCAAGATATCCAAGATGCCAAAAAAAAGCTCGAAATGAGTCAGCGTCAAAAATCGACATGGGAATGGCCCAAATCGGAAAATTGTTAATTAGTTAGTGGGGATTCCCGGAGTTTAAGCCCAATGAATATTGGGTAGCATAACATTCATTTTACCAGCCAATGATCATTTATCAATTATATCCACATTTTCTTTGGTTTAAATTTGATACTTAGACGTTTCTTACAAGTTATTGCTCAAATGGCATACCCTCTGGTAATTTAACATAGCTATTGAAAATGGCCCAGTCGAAATAGTTGATTTACCCATTAATAGCATGGTGGATCTTTCCATCGTTTTTTGTATGTTTACCAGAGGCTTCTGAAAACAAAGGCACTGTGAAGAGCAGTGCTTCATCGTGTCGCCTTGGGACGGCGGAGCAGTGCTTCATCGTGTCGCCTTGGGACGGCGGTGCCTCCGCTTTACCCGGTGTCATCAACGCTGGAAAATTCCCGCACTAAATAGAGGTTGACCCTGGAATCAGATATGGAAAACCACCAAAAACAATGTCAACCCTGGATTAATAAACCCCGTTTACGGCTGTTGAATTGGGGTTTGGTACCATTTCAAAACCCATGGGTTTATTAACCTTCGGGATTTCCCAACGATTTTCGTGGATTTTCCATGTTCACTGCAGCCAAGTTGCAGCGGCTGCGCAGCTGTGGTTTTAGAAGAAATTTCTGAATTTAATGTCTGAAATTAAAGAATGCGCCACATGAATCCACATGATATGTCTGATTATGTTTGCCATGTTGCTGTTTTGAAGACGCTTCAAAAACTGCGATGGCAAGCAGCGTTTGAAAACTTTGCACCAGACGGTTCCCGCAAATATCTTCATTCAATATCTTCATTCAAGCATTCAAACCCCGAAACGGAAAACTATCAAGAAAACGTTGTCACGCACAAAAATAAATGTTCAAGTCAACCAAGAATCCCATACAAATAAAATAGGGAATAGGCAAAATATATACATTTCGATCAGGGCCAGCAGTTTTTGGCAGTCCTCGCCCGGAAACTGTTGTTTGCTCATGTTTGCCTATCCCATTCTACGGGTCACATGTCCGGACATTGGTTGTCTTTCCAAATACGACAAACAACACCAAAATTCGAACAAAATTCGGAAACATCGGAAACTAATACTGAATCCCTGCTTTCCAAATTTTATCTCTGTACGGTACCAAGACACCACAGACACCAACCAGCGACGCACTGTCCAAAGAACCGGTTCCAGCTGCTTACAAAACTTCACAAGGAACGAAACAAAATAATAGCAGCAGAAGCAGCAGAAGCAACAACACACAAAAAAAAACGACGACGACGACGACGACAACGACGAAGGAGGAAGGACGAAAACTAAGGAGGAAGGACGAAGGACAAAGGACGAATGTCGAAGGACGAGGACGAACACACAATTCCTGGTGACCAGTTCTGTATGTTTACCGTTTTTGGTCTCCCCGCTATTGTTCTTGGAGGCCTGGACAATTGGTTGCTCAAAAAGTCTATGTGTATTTGTATAGATGCACTGTAATAGAATATATTATAATATAATATAATATAATATAATGCAATGTAATATAATATGATATGATATAATGTATAAAATAAAATAATATAATATAATGTAATAAAATATAATGCAATACAATATATAGTATAATGTTCTATAAAATAACATAATCTTATATATATAATAATATAATACAATACAATATAGTATAATAGAATACAATACAATATTAAACAAAAAATGATATGACATAATATAATGTAAGGTAAGTAATGTAGAAAAATGTAATGTAACGTTACATGATATAATATAATAATATAATACAATATACTAAAATATCATGTCATATCATATCATATCACATCATATCATATACGATCCAATTTTGGGCATGAAACCGGCGATTTTTGACAGGGGTGGCCCCAGGTAGTCAGATCAGATCAAGGCGTGCAGCACATGCTGAAGCTGCCAGCGTATGTTTTCCTTGCGCAGAGATGCACTGCAGGGCGGCTTTTCCTCAAATGGCGCGGGTTAAGGCAAATGAACGAGTACCACTGGCACAGTGGAAAGTTGGCGAAGCAATTGCCACGGGATTATTTTTCTTCTCACTGGGCCCATGCTGCTTCAGTACATGTTCACTCTTTTCTGGTCAAAAAGTTTAAGGTCAGTGCAAGAGTGGCATCTTGGTAGATTATCTTAGGGCTTGGAGCTGGCTGGGATACTCAAAAGGGGTGCGAAATTAAATTGGCAGTGTTTTTTTTTTTTGGCAAAAAAAAAATTGCCCTCCATTCAAAAGTCCAGCGGAACTAAGCTCGTAAGGTGCAAGTTTTTGAAACAGGCCGCACGTTTCGACTTTTTGAAAAGCAAAGTTGTGCCGATGCATGGCACGCAAATTCTGGGTGGAGACTTATGGCAATCTTAAACTTTTGCAACAAAGTTGTATCTAATCAATATGTGTAAAGATCACTGGCTGAGTCGCACTTTGTTCAAGATGTACATGTTCAATCTGAGCACGATCGACTTTGACTCGGCTCAGCTGAGAGTGGATTAGCACCATTTTAAAACCCCTGGCCGTTTGAAGAGTTCAAAATCTTTGCGGGAGCCAGCTTTGAAACAAGTGCCTGGATCCAGAATTATGGCCAAAGGGGTTGCGGGGGAATGCGCTTCAAAATTGGCAAAAGTTGTAATGTGGGATACTCCGGGATACAGATTAGTGTGGGGATACACAATTGTGTCCACAGACTCCAAAATTATTCTGTAACTTTGGAAATGATTGAGGGGTACAGTTTTGTGTCCACAGGATTTTGGTGTAAGTTTTTTCATTTTTTTTAAAAGTTTTTAATTGTTTTAAATTATTTTTTATTTTTTTAAATGATAATAATTTTTAATTTAATTATTTTTTATTTTATTATTTTAATTTAACATTTTTTTAAAAAAATATAATAAATATATTAAGTATATATATATATATAATCATTACCATTCAATTTTGTGACAATTTATTTGTGTCAGGGTACACTATTGTGTCTTGATCTTGTCTGGGGTACAATATTGTGTCTTGGTCTTGTTTCTGTTTGTTCAAACATTTTTCATTTTTTCATTTTTTAAAGTTTTTTTCTTTTACTTTTTATTTTCCATCATTGAAATTTTCCAGATGCCTTCCACAGAAAATTACATCCAGGTACACAATAGTGTGGTTTGTTTGGAGGGTACACTATTGTGTCCAGCTGCTTTCCTGAGGTCATGATTTTTTGATTTTTTTCAATCATTTCCTTTACCTTTTCCTTTGCTAGCTAAAGTTTTTTCCTTTTAATTAATTCCTTTCTTAGTTTCTTTCATTTGAAATTCTCAGAAATGCCCAGTTTCCCAAAATATATGATGCCTTATTAAAACCCAATTAAAAAACATCACTCAAACAATTTTTCAAGGGGGTAGTCCATGAGCAACCCTGATACACAATAGTGTGGTTTGTTTGGAGGGTACACTATTGTGTCCAGCTGCTTTCCTGAGGTCATGATTTTTTGATTTTTTTCAATCATTTCCTTTACCTTTTCCTTTGCTAGCTAAAGTTTTTTCCTTTTAATTAATTCCTTTCTTAGTTTCTTTCATTTGAAATTCTCAGAAATGCCCAGTTTCCCAAAATATATGATGCCTTATTAAAACCCAATTAAAAAACATCACTCAAACAATTTTTCAAGGGGGTAGTCCATGAGCAACCCTGATACACAATAGTGTGGTTTGTTTGGAGGGTACACTATTGTGTCCAGCTGCTTTCCTGAGGTCATGATTTTTTGATTTTTTCAATCATTTCCTTTACCTTTTCCTTTGCTAGCTAAGTGTTTTCCTTTCAATTAATTTCTTTCTTAGTTTCTTTCATTTGAAATTCTCAGAAATGCCCAGTTTCCCAAAATATATGATGCCTTATTAAAACCCAATTAAAAAACATCACTCAAACAATTTTTCAAGGGGGTAGTCCATGAGCAACCCTGATACACAATAGTGTGGTTTGTTTGGAGGGTACACTATTGTGTCCAGCTGCTTTCCTGAGGTTATTTTTTTTTTTTTTTCAATCATTTCCTTTACCTTTTCCTTTGCTAGCTAAAGTTTTTTCCTTTTAATTAATTTCTTTCTTAGTTTCTTTCATTTGAAATTCTCAGAAATGCCCAGTTTCCCAAAATATATGATGCCTTATTAAAACCCAATTAAAAAACATCACTCAAACAATTTTTCAAGGGGGTAGTCCATGAGCAACCCTGATACACAATAGTGTGGTTTGTTTGGAGGGTACACTATTGTGTCTAGCTGCTTTCCTGAGGTCATGATTTTTTGATTTTTTTCAATCATTTCCTTTACCTTTTCCTTTGCTAGCTAAAGTTTTTTCCTTTTAATTAATTCCTTTCTTAGTTTCTTTCATTTGAAATTCTCAGAAATGCCCAGAGTCTGACGTTCTTTCATGGGCGATTCCAGCATTGCTTGGACCACTGGAGATGCCGCCATAAGCATCTGAGCATGAGCTGTGACGCGCCCATCGCTTGCTTCGATGGTCAGGTCGTGTGAAATGGTGGCATGTAGGTATTTCTCCCAAATGTCAACAATGCCTTCATCCACAGACGCTCTACGCCTGGTATGTAACTGTCTTGAGGCTCTTGCAATTCTTTCTACGACTTTGGCGAGGAAATCGAATTGCTGTTTCCACTCCGGTTTTCCTTGCAAGGCCTGTCGCCAAGCGTTGATGTAGGACATGACTGAATGTCCCGTGAACTCCACTTTGATTGTGGTGTTATCTTTGTCCTTGGTTTTCCACACTTGATAGCACCGGTTCGTGTTTCCGCTTTTCTGTGATATACTGGCCCCTGACTTAACGAACCACTCTATCAGGTCGAGTATTCGCTCCTCCTCCTGTGCTACAACTGGCAATTTGCAAGCTGCGACGAGGACTGCGGTCTGGTCGACAGGATGGAGTATATTCCAAGAGAAGTTTCTAGGGATGGTGCTTCTCAGTTCATCATGCTTTGAGAGATCCAGCAAGCTCCAGAAGAGCTCAAGATAGTCACTCGACATCTGCACAGCGGTCCTCTAGTGCGATGCTACTAGTAGCCTTTCAGATCTTTCAGCCCTTGAGCCAGGAAGAGATGGAGATCTATCCATTGTGTTGACTTTCACAACAAGCCCCTACACAATTTTTGACTTGACCAGAACAGTTCACCAGCCAACAACATGCAATTGTCAGACACCTAAAACGTCGTCTCCATGTAAGGCTTCAAACTCTGCTTCCATCAACAAGCATCTTCTAGCTTTAAGTCTCTAGCTTCTCAAACATCCATAAACATCCTCAGCGCAAACTTGGCGTTCTTGTGCCTGCCGTCCTTTTGCCTAGGACCGCCATCACAAAGTGGATTTTTTATGATCCAAACCCAAAATTTGAACATGTTTGTGTCACATCGCGCCTCTTAAGCGATACTTTGGAAAAGACTGCAGTAACATTAGAAATCACTTGTCTTTATGCCGTCAATCTTCGCCATGGATCTCACTTTCTCGTTTAAGAGTTTACCATCCCATGCTGTTAATCCAAAACCCACATCAAAGTGAAGAAGGATACCAAAATTGACCACACACTTTGCAACTTTAGTATTGTAGTGGCTGTGAAGGAAAGCTCTTTCTCAGATCGACGCACTAGCTGGCATGAGAGGCTGACCTGACCAAAACACCTTCACCAAACAAGACACACTGAAGGCAGCCCAACGCAGAAACCATTGCTGGTACCCAACCGTAGGGTATGCTTCATCGATCTTCATCGTGCAGAACCGAAATGGCAGTTGTACAGGAAAGTCCACCCCTCAGCTCCTGTCATCCTACAAAGATTGGACCAATTGGACACTCACTCTCGATTCAGTGTCACCATGAACTGAGCTTCATTCAACATGTTTATCCAAATCGTTGAGGATGGTAGGCCTGTCAAAAGTCTTTAGATTCTTTAGATATCTACCCACCTCTTGAATATCATAATCATAACACAAGAACTGCTGGGTGCTTTCAACCCTCTGAAACATTACTAATATAGTCATTTTGGATCGTCCAAATAAAATTACAAAACCGAACAAATGAACATATCTGAAATCACCAACCAGTTGTGTGCGTCATAACCCACTATATTGGTTATCCCATTATGACTTCGACCCCACTATATACTTATATATATATATATATTAATTTCAGCAAATTTATATTTCCCCATGATAGCCACCAACCAAACAATCAACTTTTGCACAAACTTTCCGATGAGAAACGCCGTGACCCGCAACTCCATGGCATCGTATTGACGCGCCGAGTTGCGCAGGAAACCAAGGGTCTTAATGAACTTCGTGGATCTTCAATGATTTCAATGATCGTTATCTAGTGAATCTAGCGGCTCCAGCACGTCTTCAGCGACCAACCTTGGAGCATCGCTGCGAAGCCTTCGCTGTAACAGCGCTTGTGGCTGTGGTCACACCGGAGCGACGGAATCCGAGATGGAGGTCCTCCTGAATTGGCCAGACTCCGACTACCAATCCACTATCCAAATCCATGCTTTGTTGATCTTTGTTGAAACATCTTGTTTTGACATCCAAGAAATCAGAAACGCATCCAAGAACTGGTGAGAAAGATGTGACATGCTTGAACGAAGCAAAGAGTATGGATTAAAAAACGTCAAAATTTCGTACTCCAAAGTGGGTTGGATACAAGGACGGCCAAAATCCGTGGGTATCAGTGCAAGGGTCTTAAGGTTTGACTTGGACACCATTTCCAATGGAATGCAATGACCATCAAGAAAGGGAAGGACAAACAGGCTTCATAGGACGCATCTTTCATCTTTGGTAAAGTCATGTAAAGTCATTGAGTCATACTCTGCCATAATTGCAAGAAGCCTGTTGTTTGACGCCATAATTTTGAGGCACTTGAACTGATACTTAGCTAACATCATAGCTCACCAACTGAGAGCCTCACGGTATTCCCTCAACTGCTGATGGATCAATGCGCCTCAAGAAGAGATACCTCAGCAGTCCAGGATAGCATTTGCTGCGAGGCTTGGGGCTGGGAGCACATGGGCCTCCTGGACTGGGAAAACCAAAGCTGCACAAAAAATCGCCCATCTGCTGATGGTGCTGTGTCGAAACGGCTACAGGTACCGAATGGTACCGAAAGCTAGGCCCTAGCACGCGTCAACGCCAGTACCCGGGACATTCATCAGCTGTAATGAACCGCCTAAATACCTGGCGTTGGAATCGGTGGAGGAACCTTCCAATGTCGAATGTTCCATCAGCTTGGCTATTATTGGCTATTTGGTTGTGTTTTGACTGGTTGCTTTCCATTTGCCGAATGAGGGAATTCCCCAATTTCTTGAATCTATGAACATGATATGGACCTAAAGCAACAAGTGGGAGGGCATTGAAATCATGGCCTAATGGCTGCATCAAATAAAATGGGGGATACCGGGATACCCCAAGCAGTCGTTCAAATATATATATATATATATGTTAATGACACAATTTGATAGTCATTTATAGTCATTTTAATGAGGAAAATCATGTGGAAGATGATGATCAAATTGATCAATGAGATTTCCCCCACCTGGCATAGAGTCGGCCCAACGCCAGGCCAACGCCCCAACCGGCCATTGGACTGCCGCTCTCCAGGTATTCCTGGCGCAGCCATGGTGTACCAATGGATCCACTTAAAATTGGTAATGTTTTTTTTTATTTCTTCTGGTATATTGAATCATCCTAATTTTTTGGGAGATGATATATTGCTAGTATATTGAATCATCCTAATTTTTTGGGAGATGATAGAAATTAAGACATATCAAAATGATCCAAAAATTCATCCCCAAAGTTACTGGTACCTGACGAGTCCTGGAAGGGTTGCTTCGAGGTGGAGAAGAGATAGGACCAAATCTCCTCTGCTTTTCCAAAGGGAAAGCCACCACCCTGGCAGGATCTGGCAGGATGCACAAATGCACAGAGGATGGCCCATTTGGAAAGGTTTTCCACCGTTTTCCACACAGAAAATTCTGGAATGAACATGGACGCACGCCAAGGTTATGTGGCCCCTTGATGGCAACTAATGTGTCATTCAGTTCTGGTTTCGCCAGAATCTAGGGACAAGCAACACCGTGGCCTGATCGGCGATCCTGATGGCCACTTGTTTCTGATCTGCGCACACCTGCCATGGGCGGTGTCGTGGACAAGACCTTTTTCCAAAGTCTTTCGACAGTCTCAAATTAGGCTGGACTTATTCCATGACATCACAAACTTCATGGATTTGCCCAGGTCATGTCAATAGCTCACATGCCTGGATGACGGTCACAACAATTGGCCTTTCAGACAAGCTTCTTCTGCCATCAACTTCGCAAGCCTGCCACGTCGGTTTCAAAAACGACACCTTGCTAGAGAAAGGACCTTGAAGATCTGTTTATCATGTCTTTGCATGTCTTTGCAGTCCCTGTGCGGGTAATTTATGATAATTCTCAAGCCAAATGCTAACCAAGACGGCTCATGACGGCCAATTCTTGATGGTTTCCCCGCATATTATCCAATATCAAGCGTCATTTCTGGTAAGATATGGATGATATGGTGAATCCCATGTCCTCCCCTGCAATCTCAAGCAATCTCCTGCGCACCTCCACAGTAGCCCGAGCGCTGTTCTTGATCAACTCCTGCATGGCGTTTGGAGTTTTTGGAGTTCAACAACCGTGAACTCAGTAATACTCAGTAGCCAAGAATGGACATGCAGGCCCACCCAATCAATGATCAACGTGATCAACATGTTCAACATGATCAACAACGACCTCTCCTGAACAATGTAGAACAAGTACTTGGGAATGTAGGAGAACGCAATGGCTTCTTCGGAACCAGACTCTGAATGGCAGTGAACCTCAACCTTTAGGTCGTCATGACCTCGCCTCGCAGATCGCTGCAGGTTGGTTTCAACATCTCCATCCACTCCGCCTATAGGAACTCTGAGAGCCAAACCGGCTATACTTTGGGTTGGCATACATTGCTTGGACAGCCTTTGCCGCCTCTGCAGTGGAGAAACGATGAGAGGATTCTCCTGCTCAACTGAGTGAAAGGAGTCTGCTAAACCATGGTGCCATGGTGCCTCCTCGCAAATCTTCCCAGGGTTGCACTTTGTATCAACGATGCCGATGTGATCGGAGCCTCTCAAATTCTTGAGCTCTGGATGCCTGTGTCCTTAGACCCATCTTTGTTGACTTTTTCTTCAACTGCCTGGATCTCCCTGTGTAAACAAGATCAAACAAGTACCCAGTAAAGCTTCAAGAAACCTATTCGAACAACTGGTGGCATGCAATGGCATGCATCATAAGTGATTGCGGTTGGTTTCACTTTTCTGAAGTTGTTTTTTTTGTAGCACCAATTCCAACACATGGATGGTGCGAAACCTTTTGCCTCAGCACTTTTGGTTTACTCTTTCGATGTCACCCATCCTGGCCTAAAAGCTCGGCAGCCTGCAGGTCTCACTGCAGGCCCCGACGACATTTCAAGGGACTATCATGGGGATATTGTCAGTAAACATGGGGATTTCACAATTAGATACAATTAGTGCAATGTCAATTCACTATCTGGACAATTTGGGTACGGGTTAAAACCCTAGGCCCTGCTGGGTTTTCAAGTTTTCACACCAAAAAAACTGGAGTTCATGGACCCCATTCTGTTCGCAGAGGGATCAAGATCCATGCCCTGATTCGGCAGTTCCGCAGGTGTCCTCAGTCACTGAGTCATGCCAGTCTACCACGGCCATGTAGTGCGAAGTCAACCTCGGCACGAGGAAATCCCAAGGCCTTTCAGCGACCGGAACATACAGACCTGATGCGGATGTCACTCGCTTGGGTTGTCTTGGGGTACAGGCCCAGTGTCTTTGTACAGTATACTTAGTAGTATTGAACCATCCATTGGGGTACAATGATTGTGATACCGATCTGCATTAAATAAACACATCCTGTCATTTGTGAAGTCCATGGCTTCAATGCCTTGACCCGCCGTTGCCAGGTCGAGGCACATTTCCGTCGAAATCCGCGAGAGCAGAAAGGTATCCGCCCACGACCTGGGCTCACTGGGCTCTGCTGGGTCGCCCTATGTCACTGTGGCGATCCCTGAGAGACCGGGCTGAAAATCATCCCCTTCCATCCATGGATCACTGAGCGTCATCTTCCGCACAGCCTCCCAGCGATGGAATCGGATTTGAATCGGATTATGCAGGATTGGATGCCTCAAGACCAAGGAATTAGATGGAATTAGATCAACCATCAACATCATCAAAGTCATCAAAGTCATCAACCGTGATCAATCCTCACAGGCATCGTCATCAACCACCATCACCCATAGCTGCCATAGCTCCTCGGCCAAAAGTGCCACCACCGGCATGTGCCGTTTCCGCACGCTTCGGATCACCTGAGGTTTGGCCATCTGGCCATCTGGCCATCTGGCCATCCCCGGCTTCAAAACTTCTGAGCTCCGACCTCTGTGTATTCCTTGAGGTCGTTTAACGTCAAGGCACTCTCCTTGCAAAAAAAAGACAGGATCAACAGATCGTTTAACGTGTTTAACGATGGCGTGAAAATGCGTGAAAGATTGTGAAGGTATCACTTTCCCTTGGTTTTTGAGGTCTTTCTTCTAGCTGCTTCTAGCTTCAATTCCTGGAAGGCTGGTAATGAGGGTCATGAAGCTCATATTAATCTTCCGTGGTTCTGATCGGAAATGACTTTATCATGGGCCAAAATGACAATCCCTGAAAAAACCTTTAGAATGTTTTAGAAATACTAACATGGCAATCATGACAAATTCATACAACTTCGGTGGGTCCAAATCGGATCAAATCGGTAGCGCGTTTGGACTTGACCAATCTTGGACACCTCGGTGTCAGGAGGTTCCGCCAACCGCAAGTCACTGAAGGAGTCCATGAAGATCTCATGGAGCTGCCTGCCATGGCAAGTCTCGTATCAAACGAAACTCAGACCATTCCCATCCCGTGGTCCAAAGATGTCCAAAGCATGCCGGTGCTTCTTCAACTCCAGCTGCTTTTCCCATCCTGCCACCGCCTCGATGTGTTTGATCCGAGCAGCAAATCTGAACGGAAGCTCCTGGGCCAAGGCTGATACTGGCGACCCCTCAGCTGCAAAATAAGACACTCATACAAGAGCTTTTTTAATTCTTGAGCCCCATTTTCAATCTATTTCAATATGTTCAATCTACTTTCCTCTTTGGACGAAGCCGCTTGCGCCTTGTGCACCAGTCTGGCCACTTTACCAGGTGTTGATGCTTCCACGATCTGCTCCAAGCTCAAGGCCTTTCACGCTGTGACACAAGGCTATAACGGCTATAGCAGCTATAGGACTATACGTAGCATATACCTCCATCAAAGATCATCAAAGCCAAGCCCAGTTGGATGCTAAAGACTGAAGCTGTCCAGAAGCAGAAGATATCCTATTTTTCCCATGGCCTGTGTATGTCGCGATGCAAAGTAGCTCAGCTCAGCTCGGATAAACTCTTGCAGGCGATCTTGAGATATTGTCACCTGCCCAAAATGTATCAGCTGTGATGGTGGGGTAACTGCAATCGAACAAATCATCCTCTCGCAATGCTGCTATTGAGAAGCTCCTGGTCTTAGTGCAGGGATTAAACAACAGAAAATGCCTTACTTACAGGTCCTTACAGGTCTTTTTCCTTAATTTTAGGTATGTTTGAAAAACACTGAAAACGTGGTATGCCTCCAAGTGGCCATTTAACAAGGAAATTTATCATAGGGCTTTGGATTTGGCGTGTCCCATGTCAGATACATTTCAGATCCACCTATACATCCTATACACTCATCTTTTTCTGCAACAAAATTAACACGGGTGGACCTGCGAGAAGCATCTGAAGGCGCCGACTGCCCGCCATCTTGATGCCTCCAAGGCAGAATCTTGGTGGATGTTTCATCAATAATCATAGGGATGTGCCAATCAGAATCAAGCCTAGCAGAATTCACCAAGTTACACCTCGTCAGCTATATTAATCTTGGTTATAAGGACGTGTTTCTCTCAAAAAAAACAACGGTTTCTCATCGCCATGTTTGAGTACCAAAGGGGAGAAGATATAGCCATAGCTCATGAGAGTCGGAAAGCGCTACCAATATGACAATACAGGGGCATCAAAAACAGGAATCAGAATAGTTGTCAGCATGAGTTTTCGTATGAGTTGCAGTTGCAGAGTGCATCCAACCATCGGGAAACGGTTGATATCTCTGTGGCGTTGCTAATATCGATTGGGAGCACTGAACAGGAAGACTTGAACATAGGGCACCCATCAGCACCCATGGGTAGCCCTAAAAAGCCAATGATTCACAATCATCTTCACCATTTGAAATGGGAATAAATGGGGGGTTCATCCCCCATTTTCAGACACACATTCTTCAAAACCACGACAAGTAGTGCAATCCATCACTCACCACCAGTCGGACCAGTCATTCTTGGCCTTTGCAAGCATTCCATTGGCGAAGCTCAGGCTAGTCAGTCCGACGATATCTATATAAGCTGCTTGAGCACCAAAAAGAACGAAACTACAACATTTTGCCTGGAAACTTGAAAGCACAGCAACTGAGCACAATGCACATCTTTTCCTAGCTGAAACTTCGGAAAATATCGACCTATCTGGAACTAAGTTGGACGGGGGCATGTGTGTTCTGTTGTGTCTCAAGTTTCAACCCTCCTAAGCCGCAACCCTCCAAACCACTGTAGTAGGCCTTATCAACCCATCCCACATACCATGCTGGTCATGATGGACATTGCTACTTCCACAACTTGTTTTTCAACTGATGATCCAACTTGACTTTGGCTTAGGTACCGCATGGTACCACAAATGCCCCGTGCGAACGGGAGATTTTTCTGCTGCTTTTGCAGTCTGCAGTCGGCATCATCCTGTGCGGAGGCTGCAGGACTGAACTTACAAGAAGAAAAAACAGCAGGAAAGTCAAAAGACATGTTTGAGACTGTCCCCACCATCCCCATCAGTTGCGAACAAAAACAGACTGCAACACGATGGTGCCAAACTGAAATAGAATGGTGCAAAGTCTTTAGTCTTTTCTTCAAACATGACATTTATCAAAGCAACCTTAAGCTTCATATGGCCAAGGCATGGCTACCTCCAGACTATTAGCCTAATGGCAAAACAGCCCCACATTACATTCTCCGTTGGGGCCTAAAGTTCGAAGCTGAATTTCCCGGGCATTCTGAGTGCTCGGGGCTTCTTCTGTCTGCCTCATGGGGACCACCAAGAACCCCAGGATACCCAGGATGCTGTGGCAGTACTTCCATGAGCAAAGCATGTCACTATCATCATATCCAAGTGAGCATCCCCAAAAATGAAAAAAGCATATATGGTAAGGTAGCAACCTTACTTTGCTTAGCAGATGACAGCTAATGACATCAAATGGTCAACTCTCTGCCTGGTCTGCTGTGTCGCAGTGGTTGCAATGTCCCGTCGACGAAGAATTGCCAGCATCACAAGCTGGCAGAAACGGCAACGTTCGCAGAAGATATATATATATATTATATAGCACAAAGGGTATCTTGGGTCTGCCACTGGACGAAGTCTCTATCATTCATCATACATCGGACTCCATTGGACTCGGATGGACTTTGGACACAGGACTTGAGAAACAAACATCTTCAAGAGTCGACCTCTCCAAAACTTTGGGGGATACTCCAAAATCCAAAATGTCAATGTTCATGTTCTTTTTTTTTCCTGATTTTTCTGATAAACCCATGGGATTTTTTTCCGGGGTATCCATGGGTCTCCCATTTTTGGAACGGCCTGGAGGACGGAGAGCTCGTAAAGAGCAATGATGCAGCAAAGTACCACGTCGCCAGCCCAGAACTGCGGCTGGGTACCAGTCAGTGAGCGAAGAAAAATCCCAAGGGTTGATGGGTTACACTAATAAGTAGGTGTGGGTTATGAACCTACCTGGTAGAAAAGGCATGAAAAGGCGATAGTAATTCATTATAACTTTTTACTTATAACATCTTTTTTCACCCATAACTGCAAAGTGAGCAGTGTTCAAAACCCGACATGCCATTCCTTGAAATATTGGTTGGTTGAGATTGGGATTCCAAGCCACAGTGGTATTGAACACTGCTCACGTGTTGATGAGTGGGTTGTGGGTCATGAACCTAGCTGGTTTATAGCCAGCAATGCTCCGCTTGATATTCACCCAGTTAAAGAAGTTTCCCAGAAGTGTTTTATTCGTCCCCCGGCCCAATCGAGCTGAAAAGAACACAAATCGCTTTGACCCATTGCCAGCTCTGACTTGGATTCCTACACTTCTACTGGTAAATCATAGTAAATAGCCGTACTTTGCTAGTCTCACCTCCATTCGATACCCACTTGGGTCAACATTTTATCTGACTAAACCATGATCATGACAAAATCCCCGATGTGATCGCAGCAGCAATTATATCCCATAAACATATTACCACCAACCACTAAAGCACATTAAAGCACCATGAACCTCAGGTTTAAACTCCCATTTAATCCCATTCACCCATAAAATCACCATTTTCGTTTCTTCAACCGCCCCAGGGGTCTCTGGGAATGCTGGGAATGCTGGGAATGCCGGCCCCCTGCGTGACAATCAGCAGACAGGCAATGATGATGGCGACGATGAGCTGGGACCAGTTTTTCCGGTGAAATCAACCACTTTTACAGTGAATTTAATGATCCAAAAACGGGATCCAATGTGGGGAAACCAACTCATAATATTTAAGGTGTTTATGTTTTTTAATGGAATATGTAGCCACCAGATGATGATTTCGGGTTTGTCTAAAAATGGGGGACAATGACCAAATTGTCAAGTTGTGTATACTGTGCATAGAGGATTATACATGACAAACTAGTTCAAAGTCTCTGAGATTTTTGTTTTCGTTTTTTCAGAGAAACCCGATTTTCCATCAAAATATCGTATAGATTCAAGTCAAGTGCGGGACTGTGGAAGTCCCCCCATATCTATTCATCTTACACCACCAGGCATTCGACAGCGGGATAAACCACCTATGATTGCCCAATAGAGTCATCTTGAAAAACACAACCAGCGAAAACGGAACAAGTCTTTGCAGCCAACCGGAAAAGCATTGTTTTGTATCTTGGAGACGCATCATCTCCATTCTTCTGGATTCTTGTGGGTGGGCTGTAGGTGAAAGTTCAGCTTGATTCGGGATCCTGCTCATGAAACTATCTGAGGGAGATTGACTTTCTAGGAACGAATCCGATTTCTGCTTGGTTTCATCAACATGGCCCCATAGACTTCAGGTTTATAGCTGATGGCGCACCATTCCCAAGTAGATCACTAGCGCCACGCAGGTACGCCTCAGTGGTGCCCACTTCGCAAACACTCCGAAATCAAATCGAACACATCCAGAGTAATGCTCTTCTCTAACATTATATAATGATTATAGTGTTTCATAATAATATATAATCCAGATAATGATTTGACATCCAGAGTAATCTAACATCCAGATAATGAATTTGATATGGTTTCATAATGATTATAGTGTCTTTACTATCACTATAGAATGACAATAATAACATATAATAATTGAATATCTAACATTGTTCATTGATGGTTAATATTGTACACTAATGCTTTTGCGTCGAAATCCTTCTGGGATCCCAAGCGTGTCGATCAAGTCTTCGAGCTGTGCTTCAGGATCCTGAACGCATTGAAACGAAGGGTGTACTTTCCTGCAGTGTGAATAATGTGAATCTGATGCAAATGATAGGATCATGACGTGAGAAGTCGCGTGGAGATAACATATAACAAAAATACATGAGAGTATACAAGAATTTACATCAGGATAGCGATTGAATTTGCGCCAAGAAAACAGAGAAGCACATGTAGTTCGAACGCAAATCCAACATTACCCTCTGGTTATGTCAAAATAGCTATTGAAAATGGCCATTTATAGTGGGTTTACCTATTGAAAATGGTGATTTATAGTGGATTTACATGGATTTACCCATTGAACATGGTGATTTTCCATCGTTTTTTGTATGTTTACCAGGCCGGGTATTCCTTATGACATCACCGATTTTCCGACACAATATGGCGCCTCATCGGAGTCATCCCTGCGGTTGCCCAAGGCCACAAGGCGACCAAGTAAACTGTTCTCACCTCAAACAATGGATGGGTTTTGTTGGGAAAATCTACAGGAAACCCATGGGTTTTTACCATGGTTTTTTTACCATCAAATTGATCGGGGTTTCCGGTTAAAATTTTCCCATCATCCAATTCTATGAAACATCCCATGGCTCTTGGAGCATATGGGTTGAACAAAGGGCACCAAGATGCCATGGTTCTTCAACAGTTTCCCCAAGAGAAAATGATTTAACATGGCTACTTCAAGGAATATACCCATTCTCAGACAACCCATATCATGGCGTATCTTGATTGAAGTCACTTGAGAAGGTTAGCACGAAAGGCCTGAACATGTCAATTCAATTCGTCACTGAGTGCCCCGTGCTTGGTTCCCCTCCGCACATCAGCTCATTCATCCACGACAAGCCATTCTGACATCGCAGGAACATATTTTTAGGAGAAAAATCCGGCTGGCAATGCAAACACATGCAAACACATTGAACACTTGGCTTTTTCTGGGAGTGACAGGACATACATCTTGTGTAAAGTATGTAAATGTATGTAATATGATCAGCACATTTCAAAGTGCCGCAGTAGCAGGCAGCAAAACACTTCGCAAGAAATATGCTGTTGATCTGCGGAATCCTGTCCAAGCCATGTCGGGTTTCCTTATGGTTCCTTCATTGGCTCTTTCTTCCCAAGTCTACAAGATGCTCAGACAGAGACAGCTTGGGCCTCTTCTCCCTCCACCATGGCTGTGCCAGACTTGCAAATTGTACAACGCAGCATGTGATTGGTTTGCATGCGGAGCCTGGCGCAAGAACATGAACCGTTGAACCAGGAAAAAACCATGAACTGAAGGTCGCCACCTCCACTGCAGAGTGAGGCACCAAGAAAAACACTCCAAGAAGCACCCGAGAGTGGCAACTTGGCAACTCATGGCCAGTCATCCGGATTCCCAAGCAACGCATGGCCAGCATGACCCAAGCAAGTGCGACCGCAAGGCTGTTCTGTGCTGATTATTCCGCCACTCACGCCAGCAACGTCTGTGAGTACCTTGAAAGCAGCGGCAAGCAGACCACGGAACACATGCAGTACTAGCAAATGCTTGCAAATTGGATGCACAGACAACTAAGACTATGATAACAATGATCAAGTCATATGCACCATGAACTTTACAGCAATTCTAGATAATCATAATGAATCATAATTCACTTTTGCAGCACTTGTAGATGATTATATATATATATATTTCATACATGTTATATATATATACAAAACATTATACAACTTATTGCAGCCTTATGCCAAAGTGTCTATGACAGCGCACAGGCGTAGCAGGTGGAGCAACAGGAGACCAAGGGATTGTCCTTGTCACTATCCTGGTGGTCCAGTGGCGGGACACCAATGGTGGAAAAGGGACCATTGATCGATGATAAAACATAGAAAAAAGGATGATTTACCTATCATTTATAGATGATAATTGATACTACTACAATAATATAGAAAATAATGATGATTTACATTGATTTACCTATTAGAACTTGTGATTTTCCATGGCTATGTTAAAATAACCAGAGGATAGCTTTCGACCTCAGTCACATTTAGCCAGAATGACTAGTCACTGTAGTATTACTGTAGTTTTAGATACAAGTAATTATGGATAGTAATTACAGACGATTATCAAAAATGGATGTGAAAGTTGGGTCTGAAAATGGGTCTACGACCATTTTATGGCTGTCTTAATGATTCTCAATGGGCAAACCTGATGATAATCCATTCAAATTGGGGGTACCGTGGGGTACCCGATTTTCCTCGATTTTCAGACGAACACAAATCACATATTCCAGAATGGCAACAGTACCTGACATTTTCAACAAATCAAAGTGCATCCATGATTTCAGCAGTGTCCTGAAGGCAAATGAAGCAATTCCTGGCGAGTTGGCAGTTGAACAGAACCACTTTCGGAAGAGTTGCCCGGATCAAAGAACTGACCGGATCAAATTTTCGGGAATGTGACGGGCGAAACTTCCCAAAATTGGAGGCTTGATGGCTCTTTTGAGCGCCTGTCATCGCCTTGTCTCGTGGCATTTGCAGCACCCGACACCTGCAATCGTGAAACTGGACTTGTCCAGAAAAATCGACGGCCAGATGGTCAAGTGGCGATATCTGGAAATGGCAGACCCTACCCTTGGGGCATCCCACTTAGTTTTTATGGCTTCCCAGTTATTTATATGGAATATCCATGGAATATCCCCACTATTATGGGATGAAATACGGGTTATATATGGTTATCAATATACCCACATAATATAACCACTGGATCATATATCCACTATTTTCACCCATAATATGGTTATATATGGGTTATATATGGTATATACCCACTGGATACCGTTGGCCAATCAATGTCGGAAAATCATGCCAGCAGGGCCACAGGCAACAACTCTCTGGACCCATCCTGTGGAGATCCATCACTGCAGAGATTTGAACATTTTCAAACACGGCGTAACTGGTCTGGAGCTTAAATACTTTAGATATACCCTCTGGTAAACATACAAAAAACTATGGAAAATCACGATTTTTAATGGGGAAATCCACTATAAATCACCATTTTCAATAGCTATGTTAGTTTACCAGAGGGTACCTTAGATATACCTTAGATCAGATCTTCGACTCAGCAATGAGATATATTGAGATATGCACTTCACTTAAAAAAATACTTTAAACATGGTTTGAAGGTCGATAAGGGATGATGCTGTAAGACTACTATTTGGTGAATCCAGACCTTGCAAAACGGATCAATGGCAATAATCACTAGGATCCACCTACCTGATGCCATATGCTTAATCAAAGCTTAGCAGCTAATCCTGTGGGTATCATGATGCCCCGAAAATTACCATTGGATGGACAACAATAAGATACGGTAATGTCACACCATTTGTAATTAACACTAACAGTCACTAACACCATCATATATCGACATGTCCACTGATTCCACTGTCTCCTGACCCATGCTGTGCATCTCAATGACCACTGAATCTTCAGCACTAGATGCGCTTCGCCTTAGCTCGAAACTTTGCAGGACGATTCTCCATGAACGTTGGACTTGATGATTCCTATTGATTCTTACTATCCTGACAGAGTGAGCTGGTTGTACGAATCTTTACAACCTGCCGATCCCCGGCACATCCAGCGGACAGTCTGGAACTAAGATGAACTAAGCGCAAAGCGGACAAACTGCTGTTTTGTTCGTGTTGGTTGTTCTATAGAATGGCCCTTTATGGCATCATGAGATTTTGATTTGCCGAATCTTGGCCTAAAATTCCTAAAACGCCTTTGTGAGTTTGATGTACAGAATAAGCCCAAGAGAAGCCCAAGTGGCTGGTGGATTTCAGGCATTCTTTCCATCGGACGCGGCTCGCTCCGAGGCACATCCTGGTCACCGCTTGGCCGCGCAACACATTTAAATCGACGTCGTGCCACGTCGTGCCACGTCGTGCAGGGCACCTCTGTTTGGAGCAAGTGCAGCACACCGCCAGTGGGAAGACTTGCTTGTAGCGGTTCTGCTCCTGCCCAAGGTTTTTGATGGTTTTTCTTTGGGTATCGGAATGTATCAGCTGTACCTGATCTGGATCTTCCGTCAGTGGACATAGTGGACCCATATCAAGGTGAAAATGCATAATTCGTTTCAATCCCGCCATGAAGACCTGGAAAAAAGGGGTATTGGGATTGGCAAATGAACGTCGAGTCAAGCTGTGGATGAAGTCCTTGTGGACTGCGCCCTGGATTCCGTCCCGGACTGGGCCCATGGGGACTGATTTCTCGGGTCACATCGTCCTTCGCAGTCTGGGTCTGGTGAGTCTGGTGTCTGTTCATCGAAATTTCTCACATCAGGAAGTGTCAGCTGCCAGTGTCCTGCTGCTACTCTGAAGAAATAGGTTGATACATGTTGATACCGATTTTTGTACCAATGTGCACAAAAAACCAAGAGCACGTGGCTGACAAGCTTCGCTGTCACAGGCACCTAATGGCACTCAGCCCAAAATCGGATGGTTCGATACTAAACCTGCAGCTGTTATTGAAACCATACCCATATTCTTGCTCGAGTTCTAATCCAAATCTTTGTGCGTCACATTTGCACAGTTTCCCCGTTATTGGACGATTGAAAGCCTTCCTTGCCCAAATCCAGAATCTGCCCAACATGTGATATAATGTGTATGTATGTAAGGATATATATATACAGCTCTATATATTATATTACATTATATTACATTATATTACATTATATTATATTATATCATATTATATTATATTATATTATATTATATATATATATTATATATTATATATATATATTATATATACACATTGTATTATACTACTACTCAATCAATACTCAACCATCTGTTGTCCCAAGACTCGACAAATGGACCATCGTAGGGTGGATGTCTATTTCTTGCCAGGGCCTCATCCCATTCCATCCACTCCATCCTGTGTACCACCCCCCTCTCGTTCCATGCGCAGCCGGTTTTCTCTGACAATTTCCGGGAAAAAAAACCACTGTCCAATGGCCTTCTTGAGGCATCCCCTATGTTCAGACGCACCCAAATATCACATTTTGCTCACAAAAATGCATAAGATATCACCATGATGCACCCAAATATCACATTTTGGTCCATAAAAATATCATTAAAACTATCCCAAAACTCTTCCATTTCATTCCAGATGGGTTACTGGTGAATCTTCCATAAGTTCACCTAACACCCCACACGGCGGCCTGCAAAAGTGAATAGCTTTCGGATGAATCGCCAGGCGTCGTGTCAGGATCCGGTCGTGGGGCAGCTGAAAAGGCGGATGGGGGTCATCAGTTCAGTGGATTTTTGGATGTAAAATATGATCTTTTATTGCATTTGGTCTTGTTTCATATTGTTTGATATGCCAATTGTTCATGTTTGTTGAATATCTATCTTCTGATGACTTTCTGGTATATTCTTGAATTATCCTGATGATTTTCGGCAGGTCGAAACTCGGGTTGATTTGCAATATATGTCGATATTCCACAATTTTCAGAGCTTTTGCGCATTGTTTCATGCTGTTTCTGTCCATGTTTCCATGTTTTTTTTTGCACACCGAGAGGCCCAACAACTAGGAAACGTGAAGGCCTTGGTGTTTTGCCCATTGGAAATCTGCCAGCCATTTTTCCGGGGCATCAACCAGTGGGAAAAGGACATCCAAAAATGGTTGGTGGAAATTGGGCGCCTGAAAATCCCCCATGGAAAAGGCTCATCATTTTCTCCATTCAACTATATATATATTTATTATATGTATATATATATATGTATATATATATATATGTAATTCACATGTACATATCTTTATTGAGATGGCGAGTGGTAAATTCGACAATTTCTCTGCTACCATTCCCACTTTTTCTGACCTCGTGAAAGCACAGGATGACTTGGGTCCTTCGCATATGACCGGATCGTGGGAATGTTCCCAGAATGAAACAAGGGGATGGGGTAACGATTATCAACTCATGGGATAAAACATGACTTTTGTTGGGTAAATCTATACAAATAATGGATGATTTAATCAAGACAAAACATGACACATCTCGAATTCTTGAGCCATGAAGCACACACACCTTTACGCCTTTACACCTGTGGTTGAGCAAGCAAATGGAGTTTGGATATGATTATAAAACTACTAGTAACAGCCATTTTTTTTGAAAAGGACACTCCAGTGAGCGAGTATTCGAGTTTGTCTGAAAATAGTGTACCCTATGCCATCCTGTGGCTGATCATCATCTTCCCCTTTATTTGGGTATGCGGCCATTTCATCATTTTGATAGCTCAAAGAGTTGGTTTCTCATCCCAAAGAAATCGACCTCCTCTTCCAACAGCGGCCGCTTTGAAGCTTCGGCACATCCCTCCATAGCTGCGCACTTAAAATAGGCCTCTGTGGGGTCAGAAGTGGAAGTCTATCAAGATGCTGAATGATGAAAAACAATTTTTCATGGTTGATTCACCTCTTTAACCCAATATATGTCTATAAAATATATTCTAAGTCTATAGATATTCTATCGATATAATATATATATATAGGTGCTATAGAATTTCTGTATCTATCAAAAGGATTCAAAAGGTGTAATCAAAATTATTTGGCACCACTGAGAGATTCGTCCTGGTCTAATCAAAGATCGGTCTAGGCGTGCAGTGAAACCGAGACTTGAGCCATGGCCTAATCAGGATGGATCAAGTGAGTGTGTCTGGTTTTTTCCCCCTCATTATATATTCATTTATGACAAATTTATGGCAATTTATGGTTATTTTTGGAGGGAAAATGTGGGAAAATTATGATAAACCATCAAATTAAAGGGGATTCCCCTAAATTTTCAAAGCCAAGTGGTGACAGTGACACATCTTTTTTTCTGGCAAATCGCCTTCCAAAAGCGACTTGACACGTTTGGCAAGGAATGCCGTCGGCCTAAAATGCCGCTAGTTGGGTACCAGAATGTCTCTGGTTTCCAAATATGTCACAATCCAAACAGATGAAGTGCATGGATACACGTCTAGAGTCTAGAATTTCAATTCAAGGCAAGATGTCAGCACCACAACTGTCAGCAAGCTCTCCATCTGTTCGGAAACTATGAAATGACATGTTCACACATCCCAAGTGGGAATATGTTGAATTCGGTGCTGTGCATGGATGCAGTCTGAAGTCATGCCGTAAAACGTTGACGATCTTCCACAAACGCAATGCATAATATGGCAGACCCATCCAAGCCAATTCGAAGCAACTTGCACGACCCAAGGGCAACATTCCTCATGTGACCCCAGGCGCACTGGAAATTTACAAGTTGCGGGACATTTCCAAGGTGCCAGCACATTTGCAGGGTTGGAAACTGCACCGTATCTACAGTTCATCTTATTCACAAGCTCTGCACACTGCCCAGGACGGTAGTATCTACAACACCATCAGTGGTGCATTGCTAAATGCCATCTTCAATCAGCTACTATGGTAATCGGATGTTGAAGGCTTTATAATCGCCATGCTCTCTATGGCTTCTGGTTTGGGCAGTTCTGAGCAGCAAACCAAAAACCTGTGGTAGCCGCGGTTGCCTCTTATCTGCAACCCCACTGCCCACTGGATGCGGATCTCTCAACTGGCAGGTCCTGGGCGGCGTTGCCGACTTTTTGAGTAAGGTCAAAACCCACCCAAAGTGCAGTAATTAGATGGTAAATGAGGAATCAGAATCATCCCCCAAAATATGGATATCATAATTTGTGTGTGTATATATATATATATTTATATTTATATATACGCATACACACATATATATATATATATGTACATGATGATATAATATATATATATATATGTATATATATGTATATATATATATTCACATATTATAGTATATGCTATAAGAATTTTTGATCCACCAAAACAACAGCCCTTTCGTTTTTTTTTTAACCGACAACCATCCCCTGCCCATCGCCTCTGCTGGAACTGCCATCTGAATCGCACTCGCTTGCCTGGCGAGTCCGGGAGGACTCAGTGAGAGGTGCGAGAAATCGCAGCCACCAATGGACCAAAACAACAGCCATTGGTTCTAAAATAGCCCCATCATGAGATTTCATTAGATATGTCATGATATGTCCATTCAACATTGATTGAACATTATAGAGATATTCATATATCTATGGCCATCTCGTCATGTGATATATATGTGATATGGTTATTGTATGTTATTGTCAAATTGGAAATCCAAATCATATCAAATCATGAGCCAAGCATTTTTTGGGATGATTTGGGATGGTTTAGCATGTTTATCCACTATTGTTATGATTTGTGATGATCCACTATATCCCCATATATCCCCATGATATCCCCATATGTCCCCATGATATCCCCATGATATCCCCGTTGTACCACCATTCAACCATTCTTGCTGCTTAAGTCTAAGTCACCATTTTTGTTGGTTGAATCACCATATTGGGGGATTGTTTATAATTGGCTTCACCACATGTGCCAGGGTCAAGACATGGTATATGAGTATATATAGTTTATAGTCACGCATCCCATGCCATCCAAACATACTGATCATAATGGCTTAATCCACATCATTAAATCATTATCTACAGTAATCATGAAAATGTTCATCCTAAATCAGATGGACATCTAAATCATATGAATAGATGATTACCGAAAAAAATGGTAGTGATGTTTTTTCTTTTTTTTCCCATATTAAATCATGAAAAACAACCAAACATTCCCCGAAGTGATGACCATAGATGGGATGAGTCCCATCGGGGCCACTGGCTCCAGCCTCTGTGCTCATCTCCGAGGTGCTCTCCACCGATCGGAGGACCACCTGGTGGTGACTTAAGGATTTCCCATGGGAACTTGATGGAAATCACATGGAAACCCCATGGAAACCACATGGAAACCACATGGAAACCACATTGAAACCTGAGGAAACTTCATGGAAACACGATTGAACACCGCATTGAAACCTCATTGAAACATAGTAAAAACCCCATCAAAGCCTCAGAAAGCAGTACAGTAGCAATGAACATGATTTACTGAACCCTTTCTTAACGCGGAATTTTCGGGATTTTCAATGGTCTATATATTGGAGAGCTCTAAACAATGACCACCCCATGCGACTGGAAGTGGTTGATTTTGGCTCCAACTTGCTGATGGCAGCAACAGCGAGGTCAAACCACCACCATCTACCACCTTTATTTTCTGGTTTGTTTTCAAAAGTCGTTACCCTCTGGTAATTTAACATAGCTATGGAGAATCACCATTTTTCATGGGAAAATCCACTATAAATCACCATTTTCCATAGCTATGTTAGTCATTACCAGAGGGTATTGTTTTCTTTTTGCCAACATGTCATCATCCATCCTTTGACAAGCGATTACAACTCTGTCGACATCATGCCTGCCTGCAGTGGTTCTTTGCTAATGCGACTCGCGAGGCTGCTGCTTTCCTGCAGCCACATGGGGGTTTCCATAAATGGGGGTACCCCAATAGCTGGATGGTTCAAAAAATATGTTATTTGCTGCAAAATCCATCTATAAATGGATGATGACTGGGGGCACCCCTATGACTTAGGAAACCTTCACATGTTTTTTTTCTTTACCCTCTGGTAAACTAACATAGCTATTGAAAATGACCATTTATAGTGGATTTTCCCATGAAAAAATGGTGATTTTCCATAGTTTTTTGTATGTTTACCAGAGGGTAATAATGGGGAGAGCTGGAAGCTACGAAAAAAACCTCTGCAGAGCTGCACCTGGATGGGGTACTTTGCCAGAACCTGGTGCTGACCATGGAAAATCCATGCACGGACTCACAGGGACATTGCCGAATCCATGGTAACATATGTATGAACACCTTTACCATCCTTTACCCCATGTCCCACCATCAGTTCAATGTTATATGATGTTATATTTATTAGCTACAACATGATACAAACTGAGGCTGTGACGAGTGGACATCCCACTCTCTGCGTATGCTACAATAATGCTTTATCCTTACAGGAGAAATCTCATATGGTCCCATCTTTGCCTCATCTCGACCCTGAGTCACCGCGAAACTCACCTGACGCTGGGCGGCTCTCGCGTTTTGTCTTTCTATCCCTGGTGGGATCATCGTACCAGCTGTGCTGAGGGAATTGTATGGAATAGGTCCAATAGGTTTGGTGTTGGACCGCAATGTCACTCATGTCCTTCCATCTTTGCACAGTTTCTCTTGCTCAGAAAGAGAAAAGACGAATTTGAGGAGGGGAGGAACATATATGAAACAAATAATATAAATAGCTGTGTGAGTGTTTCCCAAAGCCGTAGTGATACATGTGATAGTTACAAAGGAACACATTTCTGTAGTCTCCAGCAGTGTTGTGGGATGCAAAACTGAGAGGCCCAGCCGAGGCGGGCATAGTCTTGCCCCACTGTCTTCCATGGAAGAACTTCGCCACAATCTTCACCCCCAAAGCAGAGGTCTGACGCCAAAGCTTCCATGGATCATCAGTAGATCCCAAGTTTTGGCCAGTGGATGACTTCCATAAAGCATGTGGCCATGGTGGACATGACAAATGGTAACATAATGTAACATGGCCAACCATTTGCCCTTTCAGTTCAACTATATATATAATTACACGTGAAGGAAAAGACAGTCAGGACATCCAATGTAGGCCACCACCATCACTTTCCACATGCAACTTGTCAGCAAATGTCGAAACGTGCCAGATCGTTAGTCCAGGTACTGTATTCTACTGGTACTGAGCTTACTGAAATCCGGTTCCTATCTCAACTTTGCTGGAGTGTAGGGAGTATGAGTTGGAGCAAAACACCGTTTCCACTTTATCTTGGAGTTGATCAACAACAGTGATACCATTAACTGATGGTACGAACATCCACAACTACCATCATCCATTTGGTTTACCTTTTTTTAAACAGGAAAACCCCTATGGCCCCATAGTTGGGGCCTAAAAACCCATGGGTTCCTACCCAGTGATACCGCCAGTCTGCAGGGTCGCACCACATTCAACAACGCAGCGCCGCAACCACGCGCCGTAGCGAAAGTACGGAAGACATCCACGTACTGCGCCAGTGGCAGTTGGCCACGGAAACTCCCAAACAAAATTGCCATGGATGGAACGACCAGTATGATTCAGGACTTAGTACTTCAGAGTTTTCAGATGATCTGGAAGATACTGAAGTATGGATGAGAAGAATAATCATGCAAAGGTTTGAAGTTAGGGTGTTCTTGAAAGAGAGGATGGTCACAATGTGTTCATTGTGAACCCGATAGTTTTGGATTACCCACAAATGTTGAGAAACACCCAGAAAGCCCCCCATTTTCAAGCGTCCTGTGCCAAGTTGGCTTCTTCCAACAACATCTGAAATCTCTTTGGGTTGCACCTGCAGGAAAGATCCAGGGGGAGTTCTGTCAGCACTGGTACCAGTAGTCCATGGCAATGGCGGCAATGGAAATTGCCTGTAGATGAGTTATCAAAGGATTACCGACGATGGGCCCTCAAGCTATCGGATGACATAAGTTTAATTGGTTGAAGCCTTCAAATCATGTTTGAAACCTCCATTTCTGTTGGTGAAAACACGTTGAAGCTACCCTTAATCTTTAATTTTCTGACCCAGCCCAAAGGCCCTGAGCCCTGGACAGTCTTTGACACAGCCGGGTGATTCGCAAAGTTGTTCGGGTCTCCAGGCCACTATCCAAATCAGCCCACACCACCTTCGCAGAACGTTGTCATTTGAAGACCCTAAACACAAATTTGATTCTGATATCTGGGTCATGCAGATTCACTAATTTTTCAGATAACCTCTCCCCCCATCAATTCCAAAATTCTACCAAAAAAGTAGGGATTTCACCATTCAATGGGCCAATGAGATTTGGATTTACCATCAATCTACACCCCAACCTTTGAGGATCATCCATCCCCCGGCTCCGCTGTCGGCTCCGCCTGGGAAATGCCCAAGTCGTTCAAATATCGTGGCGCCACAGGAGTTGCACGTCGAGGTGTTTGCGCCGGCGCGATGAACGCCTGGGCACCGCATCAACATTGATCTATCATGTGTACACTAATAGGTGCAGGTGCATATATGTATATGTATAATTATACTGTATATATATATATATATTACACACACACACTATCATGTGTTCAAATGTTCTCAGAATCATCATTGTGTAGACACCAATGTTCATTTTTCCATGAAGGGAAATGAATATATAATCTGCAACAAATATCAAAAAATGATGATTGGTGTCTATATATTAATGATGTTTCTGAAAACACTTGAACAAATGACGGGAATCTCACCAAACGGGAATAGATGCTCAATATTTTTGGATTTGAATGATGTAGGTGACAATCCCTGATGGATGAAAACCCACCACCCAGAGGCCTTCTTTTGCTGCCTACAATCCATAGTCGAGCCAACCTGGATGCATCTCTTGATCCAGGTTGCATTTGTTCAAACATGTTTCCATCGATTGGTTAAAGGGAAAAATTCAGGGGAAAACATGAAAACAACCCAAAATTTACAATCTATGGCTTCCTTCAGATTTTCCCTTTAGCCAATCCATCGAATGTTTAAAAATCATGTACTTTTTGCCCGTCTCTCCGGCGACAAAAGCCACAACGCCTCTGCCGCGAACGTCTCAGCTGCACGGACATCGTAGAAAAGAAGGCTGTACCTGCCATTGGAGGGTTCCTAAGTCATGAGGGTACCCCTAAATCATCGTAGAGGGTCCATTGGAAACCATCCAGCTATTGGGATATATGATATACCCTCATGACTTCGGAACCCCCAAATGTCGGGACTCGACTTCCAAAACCGTGTAGCACCCCAAAATTTCATGGCGAATCATCATTCAACCCATGAATGAAGGGTACTATGCCATAGATTGGGAGGTATCCCCCCCATTTCAGACACAGCCCAAAATCATCTTAAGGTGATTTTACATCTAAGTCATCATCCCTATGGATCCCTATGGAATCCCTGGCTGGTACATTCCCCCTTTCAATGGTTGAGACTGGCTTAATATCCCATGACACCACCATCTCCCCACTGGATCCCCACCAGGATCTTTAGGGATGGTCACAGGTCGCTGTCATCTTTGCGTGCACAACAGATCTGGCTGACCGTGCTCGGGTATAGCTCCACCTGCACAACGATGGATGGGATCAATAGATAAAATTTAGATGATTTTAGCCATCTTGAAAAACTTCAAAAGGGGAATTAGAATGAATTAGATGATTTGAGATATTAAATGATGTCTGTTAGCCAACATCGAATTGGGGATGCATGGATGATTCTCAATTCTAGATAATTTTAGATGATTTTGACCGTCTCCAACTGGAAAAAAAATATTTGAGTGGGTACATTTAGATAATTTGGATTGGAAGAAATCTATTGGAATACTTCGGATGGTAAACCCATCCGTAAACACCATCCCCAATGACTTATCATAAATAGCTTGGTATTCCGACAATCCGCATATGGACCCAAAAATGGTAGGTTCATGACATCGTTGGGAATGAAACCCAGATCCATTGTCGGCCCTTCCTCGCTCGAAGCGCGCACAGTACATTGACCATACTGTGGTTCCTCAGCAACGTCGGAACTTGCCGGATGGATAGGTGGATACTGTTGGACTGTTGGTCAAAAGTTGCAGGTGACCATTGGGTATGACTGTTGACTGTTTTGTTTTATCTTCGCACTTTTGTTTCAACTGGAGGTCTCGTTTCCACCTTCTGGCGAGAAGCAAAATGTTGCTCTGAGAAGCCAACCCAAGTGCAGCGGCTGCCAAGTTCATCAAAAACTTGTGCAGCACAACGAGAATCGTAGTAGCTCACAACCTCAGCAAATCATGGCTCAATCGCCGTGTTTTTCCATAGGTTTTAGTGAATTTCTATAACTAGCAGCATCTGCTAGCCATTCTGGTGCAAAAACCCAAGCCACCAGGCGTTTGATCCATGCCAGCCATGGTGATGCTGAGCTCATGACCACTTCTGCTTGATTTGGCCTTATTGCAATGGATAGTAGGCTTGAAACCATGGAGCATGACATGCACGGGGAAGGATCGTTCCACTGTTCTTTGCAACATGCACCCTTCTGAAGCTACGCTGAGGTCTGTTCAAAAGTTCCAGCCGCATAATCTCGCCAAAAGGTGCCAGTTCCTGTTGCAAAATTCCATAAAATTCCCATCGTTCCACCGTCTGACAAGGGATGGGATGCGCTCTTCAATCCAACAACCCAGTGTTCCCAGTTCCTCAAAGGCCCCGGAGACTGAGACTGGTCGACCTCGCAGCTCCACCTGCCAGAGTTTTTTGAAGGAGAAATCATGTTGCGCAACATTGATACCCTGCAGTAAACATAGATAAAAACTACTAAACAACATTAAAACAACTATGGAAATCTATGGGTTTCCATGTTGGTGAAAATTGGATGGTAAACAAAAATCATCAAAAATCCAGGTAGCCGTACCCCACCCAAACCCACCCATTTCAGTTGACCATGGCATCCCCACCTCAGGGAAGGTCACTTTCAAAGAGTTGCTCAAGACCACCATTCTGCGTATGAGAATCCCCAGGCCTGAAATCGATGATCGAAATGGCGAATGCAGGTTGAACAGTGCTTCATCCAAAACACACACACACACATATATATACACATACATATTTATATATATACATACATACATATATATATGTATATATATATATATATGTATGTATATATATATATATTATCACACTTTTAAGACAATCCTTTTCAGCCCCTAACCACATTCTCTAATCGTATGATGAGAAGTTGCCATCCCGCCTTGACGTTTTTACGGAAGAGCGGCGGGTCGATTTGAGCCAAGTGGCTCGGTATACTCTCGGCTTTGCCCAAAGTAGGGTACAGTGGTTGGTCAAAATTCAGTGGTTGACATAGGTCATTAAATGTCCCCATTGAACATCACCCAACCATTAGGTATATGGTCTACTAGATGGCTACTTTTTCAGGTGATGTCCAATATTCCCAAAATGGGACAGTTACCAACCCCTGGTTGATCATCATTAATTACAGCTGTACCATATATGGTTAATGATGACATACGATGGTTAATGATTGATGGGTTAATCATTGTTTTTCCATCATCTTCCATCATTAACCCCATGGCAGTTCTAAAGTTGACAAACCTGTGAGGATGGAAACAAGGAGTGACAAGTGGCCTAATCATACGTATGTTTTGTCGCATGATTTGTAAGCCTACAACAAATAGGGAATCAAGCTCCTCATCCGCTGGAAATGGGCCGTCGAATGGACAATTCCATAATGGCTCATGACAATGGATAAATGGAAGCATCGGCTTCGACCTATTTCAATGATCTTTAGGATGTATCATGATGTATCTGATCCCTTGGTTCTCATATGTCATATGCGTTGCCAGTCTTGGCAGAGCTCTCCTTTTCCACGCTAGCTCAGCTTGGACATCTGAGGACACGGTCCTGGACAAAGATGATACAGGTCTGCAACATCTGCAAGAGGATATATATATATAATATTATATAATTCTATATGGTATTATATGATTATATATGGATGGCTCATGCCCTATCATTGACTATGATTCTGATCAGGGGTTTTGGCTGGAGGAAAACCTGTTCATTCTTGGCTTCAATCCGGCAGCATAGACCACGGCGAATTCTGCTCCTGAGCTGCTGTAGCGATCGCTGCCAAAGCCTTGGCTTGTCCATTTCTCCATGGGTTTCTCCTTTGCGATGCAACATCTGTCCGCAGTGTTGGGATGTTGGATTCTTATTTCATCTTATTTCACATGTCGCCCACATTCAAAATATATCAACATATCATCTCAAACATCATCCACTACGCTAGAAGCGATCTGTTTGTGCACCTAAAGTAGGTGCTCAAAACCTGAGCCTCCCGCTTTCAGTGACTTGGCGCGATTCTGATCTTTGGTCGTGTCTGCCCTGAGCGTTCGATTGTGGGCAATCATTGAAGTCCAGTCTTTGTCCGTTGTCTCCGTAATTTGTTTGTATTCAAGCAAAGATTGCCAACACATTCCTGCACCCAGCTTTCTTCGAAGCTCTGTTGTCGTGCACTTTCGCAAAGCGTTGATCTGCTTCAAAGTCGGACCTCTCCATAGCTTTGATGGCAATCTCTTTAACCTTGCAAACGAGATCAAGAACGTGAGGCAAGGCTGGTATGGATTCATTGAAGGCAGGTGTTTCTGTTCGTTTAGATGACTCAACTGGACTGGGCAATCTGTGTATAAATGGGGGTACTGAGTTCTTGTACTTGAAATATACCCGTCATTACCCGTCCATCTGTTCCCATCTGTTCCCATCTGTTCCCATCTGTTCCCATCTGTTCGGGGTACGACATGAGCCAAGTGGCCGTGTGCAAAGCTGCTGGCCATTGTCCAGTGTTGAAGACCTGGCAGAGGTCACCGGTCATAGGACGGTCATGTTTTGTTGTTACCCTCTGGTAATTTAACATTTTGCTATGGAAAATCACCATTTTCAATGGGAAAATCCACTATTTCTATGGCCATTTTCAATAGCTATTTTGACATAACCAGAGGGTATTTGTTGTCTCTGAAAGTGTTAGAAGTTCCTTCTGGGGCTGATGTCACTGATGTATACTGATGTCAGATTTTTTTGGGGCAACGATGCCGTCAGTTAAAATCTTGAGGCTCCGATGGCTCCGCAAACCCGAGTGTGAAATGCTGCAGCGCCCAAGACTGGTCGAATTGGGAATTATAACAATTGGTTGATGGATGATCATACTGACCATCTGATGAACTTCATGACATCATCCACTAATATGTACCATATGGTGAAAAACGTGGGTAAATGGCCCATATCGCAAAAACACATGAACCCACTACTAGAGATCTGTCTCTTATAAGGATTACCATTGTCGGATGGATGACCATACCACATATGTCATAGTCATCGTGTTGGTTATACATTCTATGATATTCCCACTATGTATCTCCCTATGGTAGGTCGAATCCCCCGATCATCCCATGTTCAATTCCATTGTTGATGACTAATGGCCATTATCCCCATTATCCCGGTTGCTTTTGGTATCTTTTGGTTGTATCAAGTAATATTCTATTACTATTGTGGATATGATTGTGTATTCCCAGTGTCCATGATACTTTTCAATATTCCATTATTCTCCGTTGATCTATGTGTTTTTCCAGTGGAACAGTTCCCATTCTGTAGTTTTTCGCATCCACATCTCCGAAACGCCCGCAGCCTCCGTCAAGGCGTTCAGCTCCAAAGTCCAGCGCAACTCGGGGTATGGCTGGAGCAGCTCCTGGGGTTCGACTGGAGGGCGACTGCGGGTGCTCGCAGCGGGGACCTTCGGGTTGTTGGGAGATTTTAGGGGAAATTTTGAAATTATGCCCAACTTTTTGGGGGTGATGATTCTTTATGATGATTTAGGTATGTGGAAGCAGTGGAAGCATTAACAAAGAATTGGCCGGATTCAAAACTACAGTATCAACACTTCGCAGAGCCAAACATGCGAACCCCCAAGTAGCCATGGGAAATAATCGTTTCCAATGGCCAACTGTGCATAAATCTTTGAAGGTCTCAGTCTTCAACTACAGCGGAGCTCCCAGCGGTGCTGGCCGGGCCTCCAACAAAGACTTGGTTGGTGGGAAGCACCGAACCATTCGGAAGAACAAAGGATGAAGTTGTTCTTCCGCTAAACCTCACTACGAAGATGCCCACTGAAGTACCGGATTGGGCCGGTGACAGTTTGGGCCAATTCATCCATCAAGCAGAACATAATACGCGGGAAAACGCCAAAAAGAAATGAGAACATCCGAGAACTGCAGATAGTTTCACAACCGTTTCCCACCTTTTTCTGACATTTTCTCACTTGATGCCAATCCATTTAGGGCCCAGGCATTGTTCAAAGACTCGCCTTCGAAATGCCTCCGATCTCAGCATCATGCTGTCCAAGCCTCAGCCCATTGTGCAAGATATATGGCATTATATGGCTATGAGTAGTCAAAACCCGGGATGTCAATTCCCCCAAATGTAGTAAGGGTGCAGATTTTTTTGTTTTTTGTTTCGTTTTGTTTTTCAGTCTGGGGCACTTAAACACGTACTTTGCTGAATTTCGAAGCTAACATTTGCCATTTGCACTGTTCATCGATTGCTAGATAGATAGATAGATAGATAGATAGATTAGATAGATTAGATAGATTAGATAGATTAGATAGATTAGATAGATTAGATAGATTAGATAGATTAGATAGATTAGAAAGATTAGATAGATTAGATAGATTAGATAGATTAGATAGATTAGATAGATTAGATAGATTAGATAGATTAGATAGGTTAGATAGATTAGATAGATTAGATAGGTTAGATAGATTAGATAGATTAGATAGATTAGATAGATTAGATAGATTAGATAGATTAGATAGATTATATAGATTAGATAGATTAGATAGATTAGATAGATTAGATAGATTAGATAGATTAGATAGATTAGATAGATTAGATAGATTAGATAGATAAGATAGATAAGATAGATAAGATAGATAAGATAGATAAGATAGATACGATAGATAAGATAGATAAGATAGATAAGATAGATAAGATAGATAAGATAGATAAGATAGATAAGATAGATAAGATAGATAAGATAGATAAGATAGATAAGATAGATAAGACAGATAAGACAGATAAGACAGATAAGATAGATAAGACAGATAAGACAGATAAGACAGATAAGACAGATAAGACAGATAAGACAGATAAGATAGGTAAGATAGGTAAGATAGGTAAGATAGAAGATAGATAAGATAGATAAGATAGATAAGATAGATAAGATAGATAAGATAGATAAGATAGATAAGATAGACAAGATATACAAGATAGATAAAGATAGATAAGATAGATAAGATAGATAAGATAGATAAGATAGATAAGATAGATAAGATAGATAAGATAGATAAGATAGATAAGATAGATAAGGTAGATAAGGTAGATAAGGTAGATAAGGTAGATAAGGTAGATAAGGTAGATAAGATAGATAAGATAGATAAGATAGATAAGATAGATAAGATAGATAATATAGATAAGATAGATAAGATAGATAAGATAGATAAGATAGATAAGATAGATAAGATAGATAAGATAGATAAGATAGATAAGATAGATAAGATAGATAAGACAGATAAGACAGATAAGACAGATAAGATAGATAAGACAGATAAGACAGATAAGACAGATAAGACAGATAAGACAGATAAGACAGATAAGATAGGTAAGATAGATAAGATAGATAAGATAGATCAGATAGATCAGATAGATAAGATAGATAAGATAGATAAGATAGATAGGATAGATAGGATAGATAGGATCGATAGGATCGATAGGATCGATAGGATCGATAGGATGGATAGGATGGATAGGATGGATAGGATGGATAGGATGGATAGGATGGATAGGATGGATAGGATGGATAGGATCGATAGGATAGATAGGACAGATAGGACAGATAGGATAGATAGGATAGATAGGATAGATAGGATAGATAGGGTAGATAGGATAGATAGGGTAGATAGGGTAGATAGGATAGAGAGGATAGATAGGATAGATAGGATAGATAGGATAGATAGGATAGATAAGTAAGATAGATAAGTAAGATAGATAGATAGATAAATAGAATAGAATAGAATAGAATAGAATAGAATAGAATAGCATAGAATAGAATAGCATAGCATAAGGTTAGATTAGATTAGATTAGATTAAGATTAGATTAAGATTAGATTAAGATTAAGATTAGATTAGATTAGATTAAATTAGATTAGATTAGATAGATCGATCGAACGATAGATCGATAGATCGATGGATGGATGGATGGATCGATAGATTAGATAGATTAGATAGATGAGATAGATTAGATAGATGAGATACAGTAGATAGATTAGATAGATACATAAAATACGATAAGGTTAGATTTGAATAGATTAGGTTAGATTAGATAGATAGATAGATAGATAGGTAAAGCATGGTAAAGCCACAAAGGCCACACACCCACAAAAGCCACAGAAGCCACAAAGCCAGGCTGGAAAACCAAAAAAAACAAAAAACATTCCCCAAAAATAGCCCTCCATGTGGCAATGATAGGTTCCCCATATCAAGATATGGTATTGTAACGACGTACCTCTACCGCTTGGATTCGGAGCTGTGCTCCGTGCGTGGCAAATCAATCAGCGCAGAGAGTCGAACGAAGACCTGGAGATTTCTTGCTTGGGGATGTCGCATTTTGCTAATTTTGGTGGATTTGGGGAATCATGAATTTTGGGGCATGTGTATTCATTTGTGACACGGCGATCCACCCGAAACCAGCTAGCTGTCACTGAGCCTCCACATCTTCGAACCTCGTCAAAGCTCAATGCCACGATAAGTCACCATGCGAAACCAGGTGATGGGGGGTGCAACACATCCGGCGCAATGTCCCAATGGGATGTTGTCCGCCCATGTCAGCCCCCTGAGATCTTAGCTCTTCAGACAGGGCCAATGTGCGGTGCTTCAGAATCTTTGCGTTCTCGTGCAAAGATGCCTGTATCCAAAGGCATCCAAAGGATTCCAAAGGCCGTTCCCGTCCATTTCTTGCTTTGAATTGGTCCGAACCAACAAGCATCAAAGTTTCCACTTGGGCTTGAACATATTGTAAATATGTTGAACTATATTGATCTACATAATATTAAACACTTCACTGCATTTTTTTGGCAAACAGCTCCCACTCATAGCCAGCCCCAGCAGCTTTGTGCCTCCGCATATGCCATGTCTTTCAAAACAGCCTCTCTAAACTTTGCCTGGCCGGTTAATAGCTGTCTGGTTCACAGTGCTGCTATGGAGGAACAACAAATGTAAACGTCAAAGACGAGTTGACACCACGCCTGTCATCCAAGAATCCAACAATTGTCAACATCTGCAAAAGTTGAATTCTTTTCAAATCATCTAACTGATCTAACTGTGTATTGCTACACATTGCTACATGCTATATACTATATATGATCTTACTATCTATCTATCTATCTATCTCTCTCTCTATATATATATATGTATATATATATATGTATATACATATACATTGTATATTACTGTATATTACTATAAATTTTACTATCCCATCCAAAAGCTCCCGCTGCCAGGGCACCATTGGATTGGCGTGGAGGTCAACGAAACTGGCCTGGGAGCGACAAAACTGGCGATCCCATTGACATCACTCCGCTGGCTGTGTGGCTTGGAGTTGGAATGAGATATTTACGTATATATTCATATACAGATTATATGTATATATATATATATATTATAGTTTATACATAGATGATAGATAGATTGTAGATGATAGGTCATATGTAGATTATAGATAGATGATAGATAGATTATATGTAGACTATATATAGATTCTACATATATACACAATTGTACAGATAATCTATCAGATATGTTCGTCATACAACCATATACAACCGGTTCGTTCGTAGGGTTTCGCTACCGAGCACCCAAACGTGCGCTGCCCGCAGACTGCTTCGGCACAACTGCTGAAGACCTTCGATGACGCGCAAGGCCTGCGGATCCCAAGGGAAGGGCCCCAAGGGCCTTGGAAAAGTGTGGAGAGCACTAGTGGGGGCAACAAATTGTGCTGTGATCAGGCTCATCATCGATCTACAACAAACATTGTATATGTTCAAATTGGTGAGCACAAACATGCTGTATACCCCAAACATGGGGGGATATAAAACCAACCATTGGGATTGTCTAAAAATGAGTCATACCCAAATGATCCCTTTCATGTACGTGGAATTCTATTGGTTAAAATCATTCGATGTACCATTGGATGTTTTCAACCCATCGTACCTGCGCGTCCAACAAAGGCAGCCGTTGCTTTGGAACGGGAAGGACGTCCAGACCTCGGCATCACCGTAATTCTGAGATATTCTGAATGATTCACGCTGCAGTTTACATGGAATGTCATAAAATTTTGATCATCCATGTCAATTGAAGTTGGATGCAGTGCTGTATTTGAGAGTCTCTGTAAAAATAACCATGGGACAGCTATCAGTTCCTGAACTTCGTGCAACAACCAATGCAGGATCAACCACTGTTGGCAGTGTCCATGCTGAATCCAATTGGATCCAATTGGCATTTGATCCATCCAATTGATCCAGTTTCCTGACAATGGGGAATACCCAAAATGGATGGTTTTTTTTGAGGGAACATCCCATTAAAATGGAACTGGGGGTAGCCCCATGACTTCGGAAAGCTCCATATCCGTCTGATCCCAAGGCTTGGGCTAAGTGTCCGAATGTCCTCCAACGCCCTTTGGATAGACGAGGACATGAGCCAACCTCACAGAACCACGGCCCATCCGGCAAGAAGAGGACAATGTAGAAAAAAAAGTAAACAGAAGCCATTGAAGTCTGTTCGAAATCCATTGAAGTCCATTGAAATCCCACTTTGTGATGTTCCCTTTCTAGCCTCTCCAGCTGACGAGTTCTGGGCCCCTGGGCCCCCTGGGGCCCCTGGCCACTGCCCACTCCTGTCACGGGCTCCACAGACTTGGGCCAATACCTGGAGAAACTGGCTGTCTCCATTGGATAAGCACTCCCCGTCAGCTCAAATTTTGACTTAGGGGGTGCCATCTCACTTAGTAAATGGGTTATACCGCCCAGTTATATGTATATATATATATGTATATATATATATGTATATATATATGTATATATATATATGTATATATATATATATATTCATACGTATATATTTATGTATATATATATATATGTATGCAAAATACATATATATATATATGGATTGTAAACCACTTACTAAGTGAGATGCACATCCAACTAGTCAACCCCCCTGACGACTTGGACCGCGGCCTTTGCAATTGATGAGACTCGGGTGGTGGCCTGGATGCAGGCAATGAATTTGGCCCGGAAAGGACCAGTTTTTTCTACCAGCTGGTTATTTAACATAGCCATGGAAAATCCCTCATAAATGGAGGTTTTAATTGGAAAACCATCTATTAATGGGCCATTTTCCATGGCTATGTTAGATTACCAGAGGGTATATCCGCAGAAAAGTGACATGAAAGGCTGGGGCCTCCGCAAGAATTGGATACTTTTTACACACAACAACTTTGCCCTGGCACAAAGTCACCAATCAGAGCCCTTGCTGAGTTTGCAACAAAGATGTGGGATGCGTCTTCAAGACATGACCTCTGCGTTCCTGTCGGCTCGGTGATCATCCCTGGAGTTAAGTCTGTGATTCTCACTGATCGGCTGGATATCCCGATTCTGTAAACAACCTTCTAACATCGATCAAATCATATCAAATCACTGTAAGATATCGAAAATCATCCAACCTGAAGATCATCATCATCATCATCATCATCATCATCATCATCATCATCATCATCATCATCGTCATCGTCATCGTCATCGCCTAAGCTTCCTCCCAAGCCTCCAACGACTTCACCCCCAGCCCCAGACGGCACCAGTGCAGCGTCCAGGAAGCCACAAACCACGCCGTGCACAAACACCACCGCATCCCAAGCACCGCCGGAACCTGGGACGCTTGGCATAGGCCCAAGACATCTCTCGAAACGTTTAAACTGTTGCTTGGAGAGACGTTTTTCGATCAGAGAATCAACATGGGCTTTTGTATGCAATACATTCAAGCCTGGCTTAACCAAACATATTTGATGGCCAAAGTTCGATGATTCCAATTGTCTTTAAGCTGTAGCATCTTGCAAGCAGAAAGTATGAGCACTTTGTCAATGCCATATCTGTAAAGATGTAGTATATGTATGTACATGTATAGATAATTGTACATACACAAGTATAATCATATCACCATATACTTACAGTATAGAAATAACAAATGTGTATGTATGTATGTATGTATGTATGAATGTATGCATGCATGCATGCATGTATGAATGTATGTCTGTATGTACGTATGATGTATGTGTGTATGTGTGTATGTGTGTATGTGTGTATGTGTGTATGTGTGTATGTGTGTATGTGTGTATGTGTGTATGTGTGTATGTGTGTATGTATGAATGAATGAATGAATGAATGTATGTATGTATGTATGTATGTATGTATGTATGTATGTATGTATGTATGTATGTATGTATGTATGTATGTACGTACGTATGTATGTATGTATGTATGATGTATGTAAGATGTAATGTAATGTAATGTAATGTAGTGTAGTGTAATGTAATGTAATGTAATGTGTGTATGTGTGTATGTGTGTATGTATGCATGTATGCATGTAAGCATGTATGCATGTATGCATGTCTGCATGTCTGCATGCATGCATGTCTGTATGTATGTCTGTATATCTGTATATACTGATATACTGGTGTGATGGTGGCTTGCATCAACACTCCTTTTTTGGGTCACAACCTTCCATGGGCCCCTTTCTTGAGTTCGTTTTCCATGCTCCAAACGGGTACTTGGCGGCCACACCAAAAGGCAAAGTGCGTGGATATTGTGCTAGGCTTGGAAGTAGACGCTCGCATTCGCTTGGACCTGCAGATCTCAATGTTGCTGCAGCCAGGACGGAAGACAAGGAGTACATAGAGCTTGTGCTTGTGTTCCCAATTTTTCATTTCACTCCATTTCGGTGTGTCCATTGGCAGCCAGGCTGACCAAGGTTCTGACGGCTGTAAAACTCCTGTATTTCCTCATCAGACTTGCCGCTGCCTCCAAATCCGGCTGCGTGGGATATCCACGCTATCTTTTTTTGGGGTAACTTTTGGGGGATCCTTAGGTATTCAGGAAGGTTTTGGACATGATCTGACCAGGTTAGACTGGCTCCTCTTGTCACCTGTCTGACTGTCACAGGGCCACTGGAAAGGTTTTCCAAAGCCACGGTTCGCACCCGCCTTGTCCATCCAAGGCATGATGGATGGAACTGGCCTCGGTGTCGCGATGGGAATTTTGATGTCTCGGGAAGCGGCAACAGATCTGTCAAGCGGCAAAAACGTCTGGCTCCAAGTCGTGATATTCTCGCATCTGTTGCAGTGCTGCAACACGTTCGCATGCCTGAACCGCTCACTAGACCACTATCATCAGGTTTGACATCGTCGTCTTTGGTCTGAGATATCATGAGATATCAAGTTCAAGATTTGGAAGAATATGAAGGATCAAGGCTTGGTCAAGGGAAGAGCGCCCTCAGTAAGGCCACAGAATCCACAGAGGTGTCTTTGCAGCAGCTTCAACGACGCCTCAACCACCTTCTGCTGCGCTGCAGTGATGTTTGGAGCATTTCCCATGCGAATCCACACACCAGCCTGCAGCAGCTGGTGAATATTGGTGAATGCAGCAGCAGCTGGTAAGCAAATTAACAAACATAGGAATGCACACCAACGCACATCATATTGATATCCATTGATGCTCCTTGATCTATCTTCCTTGGATCTGCAACATCTTGTACAAGACACACTTACACCCCGGTATCATCATGCTCTTTCGCACTTTGCTCTCCACTCATTGACTCATGTCCATGATACTCATGTCCCAAAACCCCCATGAAGTGTGTGCCCCACAACTTCAGAATGACAACAAATGGCGTCAAAGAATCTTCCATGATGGTGCAAGCCAGCCAACATGGCTTATATGGCTTTGTCTGAAATAAAGTCTCCCAAAATCCAGCAGTTTATCATAGTTTATATATGTTTATATTCATGGTTCTCCTCATGTTTCTTACTAAACCTGTCATAACTTGGGAGCCCCTGCTCCATTGTTGGAATGACCCCCATATCATCTTGTTGGCTGTAAAAGTTATATATCCCAGGAATTCCCCATTTATATCCCATGATATCCCCACATCATGATTGGCTTTATACCCCAATTATCCACCAATTTCTGTTGATTTGAAGGTGTCCTAAAATGGGGGTACCCCGCAAATCATCCAAACTTAGACTATTTCTGGCTGTTTTTGGGATCCTCCATTCCTAAGAACCCCCATTTGAATCCACCTCCATTTCTGAGGCTATAAGCCGCAGCAAAAAGTCTCACCTTATGGAGGAAGCGAAGCCAATCTTCCAAAGCCTTGGCCTTCTCTGAGAGCGAAGATTCACCTCACACAAAGAGATTGGTCAAATGTGCGGGGATAGAATGGTCCAGGAAAATCTGCGGGAAATGAAAAACCATAAAGGATAAAACATCAGGATTCACACCGAAAATGAGGGGAAACGGGTGAAACCTCACAAAATAAATCACCGTTCAAAGGGAATTTGACCTTGGAAGACGAGAACGGAGAAGCGTATGGCAAGGGTCAAGCCTCCAGAGTCCAGCAAATGTTGCGTCCGTCTCTCCACCTGAGTCCGGCATCGGTGAAACGATGAAAATCCGCCATGAATCCATAGAACCGATAGCATACTCCAGGATCTTTGCATATGTTTGCCATAAACACACCCACTTGGACAAGCATCTTCGGGGTAAAGTTGTTTTTTCCATCAGTTTTTGATTTACAGTAACATTAACATAACATTAACATTCACCCCATCAGCCCCAGCATCCATGGCCCCACCAGCCGAGGTGCTGCGCCCAACATCGCTTGAGCTCCCAGTTGCGAAAATGCTCGGCCGCACAGCGACGAGGCCTGGTCCTTCGCGGTTCGGGGTGGATTGAACCATGGTAAAATCCTCATGGAAATAGGTGATTAATAGGTAGTTGTGACAGGAGTCGCACAACTCGTGAAAAAAAGGATCTAAGAAGCAAAACAGGATATTATCAATGATATAAAATGATATAAAACAACCGGATAATTTGGGTATGGGTCAAAGCACATGATGCCTCCGTTTCATCCTCCCATTCTGATGATCCTGTAGGTATTGACGCATGTGCATATCAGGTGAGAGCAGTTTACATCACATTACATCACCCCAAACTTGGGCCCCAAACTACAGTATCATGAAAACCTGACATGGAAATTGAAGACCTGTTGTTCCAATTCAAGGAATCTTCAACCTGATTCTGAAATCTCTCTGAAACCTCTTACCCTCTGGTAAATTAACATAGACCCTGGAAGATAGGGGTTGGAAGACTAGTTTCCATTAAACATTGGCTATTTTCAGGGTCTATGTTTATTTACCAGAGGGTACATCCGCAAACCGGAGATCTATCAGCTGCTCTCCTCTTGCCCAGCATCGAAGAACTCCGATGCGACCTGAACGAAGGCGTCCGCCGTCGACGGATTCTTTCCCTGTTTCAGCTCCTGGCACCGCTTCGGCTTCGGTATGACTGGAGAATCACTGCTGTCACAGCTGCAACGATGGGCGCCTTGTCTCCTCCAAACATGTCCTCACAAAGTATGGCGCTGCATTGGAAAAAAAGTTGCACTGGGGAAAAAATCCTTCCAAGCTTGACAGGGCAGCTCAACGGATTGGAGATCAGTGACGCGCGTTTACAAAAAGAGCCAGCCACGCCATGATGTTCGTTTCTCAGTTTTCTGAAGTATGGTTTATTCCAAAAGAGGGTACCCAAAAAATTAAAAAAACACACATAAATCCCATAATTTACCATGATTTTCCCATAATTTACCATGATTTTCCCATAATTTACCATAATTTTCCACAGTTTTCCCCCAGAAAGATTGCCTTTTTGGGGATGCCATGTCTGCCATATGCGGCTCCTGAGGACAACTCAGCAGGCCATGGGGTGTAAGAACCTAATCAGGGAATCGGTGAGGATCTGAACCTGGATTTCAATGGGATATGAATATGCACATTATCTATAGTAATATGTAATAATAAGATTAATGACAATAACAATGATGAAATAGGAGTAATACTAATAAATGATAATGACAGTGATACTAATACTAATAGTTATATAGCTTATAGTGATAATGATACTGTAGCGATGATCTTCCCATATAAAAAATAGCAAAGCCAAAATAGATCGAAAAGTTGGAACTCTGGAAATATGCGGTAAATCTCATCTACACCATCCCAATGGGTTTGTGGCAATATGATATATCCCAATGGGCCCAATGGGCCCAATGGGTCATTGTAATACATCACAATGGCTAACTGGTTGTTTGCACGTTGCCCCCTTTTTCTGTGTCGATTCCTGGGTCGCGCACTTGGATGTGACCAACACTCACACCTTCTGGAAGGAGTGAAAGTCCTGGATGTGGATGCAACTATGCGTTCAACTGGAGACATGTGCAGTCAAGATACACAAGAATGCTTTAATCCACAGGAACGGTTCTCCAGACTTCTCCAACCAATCAAACACTATCCAAAACAACAAAAAAAGAGAAACGATGGGGAGACAAATGTTGGCAAAGCTTTGCTCGTCTACTGCGGTCGATGATGGTGTTACTCTTCGTGCAAGCGCAGCCCACGCCTACAATGCCAAACTCCACGATTTGCTGAACCTCCGCAGCGCGCTGAAATCCCCGTGCCGCGTTCATGCTATTTGACGGGTCTGTTTCAAGAAGAAGAAGGATACGATACTTACTTTCAATGATGGTTGGCATATGATTAAAACTAGACACGCCCAAAATGTCCTCTTCTCCTGCATCCTAACTCTTCGACCCTTCATGGTAAGCCCACCTCCTAATATGAAATACCCGGAATGTTCGGGACCTCAAAAAAAACAGATACACTACAGTTCACCCTTGGGTTCGTTGTTATTAAATCTTGGGGAGAAGGGATAAAAAATAACTGGATAATGCATGTAACAACGGATACTAACCCATATATTATATATTTATATAATAATTGGATATAATTGGAGGTATCCTATGTATCAGTAGGTGAACATACCATGCTTATCAGACTTATCAATACTATCAGCCAGTTACTAACCATTCCTGGACTATTCCTGGTATGCAAATTTGAGGTCCCGACACCAGCTTCCAGCCCAGCCGGACGAGGGGGCATGTTCACCATGCAGATGCAGAAGCGCTCATTGTCCACCTTGAAAGGCATCTGACATTGGACCTGTTTTTTTTTCTGCGAAGTGCCAGGCAAATGGACCTATGGGTGTCTGAAAATAGGGGATACCTCAAAAACCTCAAAATACATCAAACTACCAATTTATATTTGAATATGATGATTAAATTATGATTTAAACTTGGATTGAATCTAAACCATCAAATTTGCAAAATTATGGGTGCACTATGTTCAGTACATCCCAAATGTCATGGGTCAAAACTTGGGATACCACCCAAAAATGTGAACAAAAAGATAGAACATCATGTTTTGATACAGTAATTCATGCATGTTCATGCTACCAACATGATCGGATCCTGTGTTTTGCCCCATCCCCAACTTCACCCAGAAACATCTCTCGGACCTGCACGGCTGTGACCGCCGTGTCGCCACAGGCGGTCATCAAGCCACGTGGAAGCACTGGGTTTGGACCCACGGCAACGGCCTCGCCAGGCTGGTCATCCCAGGAACCGGTTCACCGCGGTTAACCAGTTGCTGGATGTTGCTGGGATGATCCCAAAATGAGACTCTGGCTGTACTGGGCTCCAAGGGTGACGCTGCCCTTGATGGAAGCGCAAGCCCTCAGTTGCGTGGGATTTAGATGGATTTGTATATCATTTGTGGCTTGTCTTCACTTTCGCGGACCCCTGAAGTTTCACAACTTTTGCAAATTGATGATCCCGCCACATGGATTTTCCATGATTTTCCTGGAGGTGATTTGTGCAATCAAACGAATGTCAGAGGTCACCCGGTCACCCCATCCTGCTCTTGGGCTATCCCTCTGGCTGAGGACCCAACTTGTGAGCATTGCTGACTGACGCCTCGTGCTTGGGTCCTCGGGTCCACATCTGGGGATGGTCACCCAAAATCTGGACCAAAATCTGGACCAAAATCTGGTGCCATTTGTGACCCCCACAAATGATCACTGGATTGGCTGATTGGCTGATCAATTCCAGCACTGGACCATCTCTAGATATTTTATGATATTTTTGGGGCAAGTCATTTTGAGCCGCCCTGTGTCTGATTTGAACGTGTCGGCGCATGTCGGAGCCTCGCATGAGAAAAGCAGCAGCAGGGACTCAGTGCGGGAGGCTTCACAGTCCCAGCAACAACCTAGGCGCGGCTCGACATGTCCATGGGTTGCATCTGATCAAATATATCAAATTGACCTTTGATGGTCTTTATGGTCTTTGCTCTTCACACGCATCAAGAATTGCACCAAACCACCAACGTTGGTTTTTGAATCTCTTGAATCCACAGGAGGGTGAGGCCTTTAGTGTTTCGACTTTACGAAATCTCAGGTGCGCGCACGCGGACAGCAAGCGGCCGGGCATCACGTCTCCAGTGACCTGGCTTCTGTTTTAAGCCTGGGAGGGGACAATCACCTACTGTATTCAATTTATGTCCATTTAATTTCATTTACATTTATATGATTACAGTATAATTATAATATATATATATATGATCCTCACATCAAAAATAGGGATTTGCCACTGCCAGGTTGGACTATCCGAGGGTAGCTACCTTCAGTTTGGAAGCCACACTGAATCAGTTTGGCACACTGAATCCCACGGTCCGCTGAGGAAACGGACAAGCTGAGCGAGTGAACACACCCACATCAAGTCTGCAGATGCAACGCTACCTCAGTCGAAAGGGGCGGACTTGCTTCAGTCAACAAAAAACAGCCTCACTATCCCTCACGGAAAAAGCTCAGCGTTCCGGTCATCCCAGCTACAGTTTTCAATCAGCCATGAAATGATTCCGAGTACTCAGTCACTCAAGTCATCATATCACATCATATAGCATCATATACCATCATATACCATCATATAGTTCACAACACGGGCAGACTCAGCAGCCAGCGGGGATGGGAGTAAAGGGCCAAATGCTCCTGCAGCCCGCCCAAGTCAAGCTCCCAATGCTTCGAGAAATTCAAAATGAAAGGCCTAGAAGTACCATACTGTATCTAGATATTATATGATACTATCTAATCCATGTAGTAGGAAAGCCATCTCCGGGACCCTATCTGTCATGTAGATTCCACATCATCCAAATGACACAAACACGAACATGTACATAATGTAGATGGGGTTGATTCAGTCCCCTGAGTCAAAATGCCAACCTTCAGTTCTCCACACTCAACTCGCAGCACAGATCTCCTCACCCCACGCCAAGACTTCAAAGAGAGTGCCGCGCCGGGGAGCCTTGCTGTGGCTTGAGCCCAACCCAAAATGGATGGGGAAAATCCTCCTAGGTGTGGATGGAAAAGTAGTGACTGTATATGAATGTTGGGTACCAAATGGAAGAACATCAAGTGCGAAGTGATGGTTCTATTTGGTAGAACCGACTTTGAGGTTCCACAGTCTTCAGGAAACCTTGTTTTTGAAACCATCGTTGATCATCCGATACAGAAAACAGGTGTTCTTTTTCTGAGACTTTGACAGGAAGGATCTCGATGTGATGTGCCAGGAACTGTGCATCCTGCAGCTGGACGAAAGTGATGCACAGATTCGTATCTTTTGCTTCGGCTGACCTTGAACTTTGCCCAACCCCCTGATCTTTTCCAAACTTGCAAGCCACA